AAAACATTTAATACAGCCAGCATCTATCAGCATATGAACTTCTTCAGGTGCTATTCTTTTCATTGTGACTCTCTCTGTCTAAAGTACAATAATAAAGTTTAAAAGTCAGAGGTGTTACCAATCTGTGATGAAACACTTTTAGTGACTAAACTGCTAATGACTAAAATGTAAATGAAGAAAAAAATATTTTTGGTGACAAATGTACTCAGTCAGAAGTAAAACTATTATCATATAAAAATACTCAAGAACATACATAATTCATCAAGATTGTACTTGAGTACGTGTACCTGAGGAACGTTACTACCAGACATGGGCGGGTAGTTAGAGTTACTTAAGTAACATTTACTCAAGTAAACTTCTGATTGCCTTGTTTGATAGTTCTATGTTAGTTCTATCTTGTGTTAAAATCACTAAGTGAAATTGGGGTGAAAGTGTCATCTAGCAAAATCCCCATATTCCATCAGGTATCAGTCTTTCAACAGACGGTCTCTTGACCCTGTACTTGTACAACAGACAACTCGCTGACTTAAAACACACATATATTAGAAGCTGCTAAGAAGCTGCTTGAGTTTCTATAATAAGGGTGAATTTGAATTCTGTCTAGTGATCAGGTTCACTTGGTTTCATTTATTATTGCCATAACTCTTATTGCTTCTGCTGTGTTATTGTTTTGTTTTCTGGCATCAACCAGAAGGGGATGGGTTCCCCTTTGTTGAGTCATGGTTCTTCTCTCTTGCTCTTAGAGAGTTTTTCTCTTTGCCACTGTTGCACTTCTCAACAAGCAGTTAGACTTGGATCTGTTAAGCTACTTTGTGTCTGCAGCCTTCATAAATGGGCTGTATAGATAAGTCAGTGGTTACAATACAAGTAAATGGGTTTCTGTTTTTTCACTAGGGAAAAAGAGAAATACGTCTAAATTGTTGTCTGGTAATCAACTGTGGGCTACAAATGTAGATAGAGATTAGTGTGGAGTATTAAGTTATGGGAGTCAAAAATATCTGGATATGCCAGCAGTTAAAGGATTAAAAGTATATTTTATTAAGTCTTATTTAATTTATACTGAAATTGGCACATTTCTAAGTATTCTACTGCTTTGCATCAGAGCTTATTTTGCTGTTCAGCAACAGGGCCCATCCTTTATGTGTTATCCTTCTCTGTTGTTACATCTTTTGGGGCATAAGCTCTACATCAGGGATGGGGAAATAAGGGGTGGAGTCCAACACAGTTTGTTTTCCCTGCCTAAACACACCAACTAATCCTGGCAATTAGCTGCGCAGGAGTTCCCCACCCCTGCTGTACATCCCGGTGAAGAGGACTTTTGGAATGTTATCTTAGGGTATGAAGTGTTATTGAATATGAAGTAATCAAGCATAATATGTATTCAGGTTTTTAATGTTGCATTTCTGCATTTTATGTTAACATATCCCATTTTATGTTATCCCAGCTGCCCAACAGGGAGGAAATTCATTACATATTTGGGCACAAAACATTTCTATTTTCGGTCTGAGGTGTAACTTCATCCAGCAATGGCACCGTCTATTATCACGAGTTCACACTCTTCGCTGAAAAACAATACTCACCAATAAATCAAAATCAAAAAAGTTATTGTGAATTCAGTGCATTTACCACCTTGTCTGACAAAACAGCACCTCATGCGTTAGAGACAACAATTATGGGATGTAGGATGTCCAAAGCCTTGGCATGTCCTGAGTCTTGACTCAGCATTAGTCTAGGTTGAGGCAGTGGAATTAGTTGTAATTGTCTGTGTAGACATTTTATTCTGGAACAGTCATTTGTTGTTTCTTAGGACTAGAGAGCTGAGCAAAACAAACTGGTTGAGCACAGAAATTGACATGCTATTGACATGCACTTAAATTACAGCTAGGATTTATTTACCTTTATAAGTCACACAAAACACCCAGCGCTCACCCAGAAATAACAGGCCTAAACAAGTGAAAATGTACACTTTGTTCAGAGGTGAATTGTGAGGCAGGAGCCATTTGCCATTAAATGTGAAATATGATATGGCATGTGTTGTCTGGGACACATGCATATGAGTGCTGTCTCACTGCTGACCTCTGATGGCTGAACAAAGCCTGAGCATGATTTACTGTTCCCAGAATGGGCACACACTGCAGGCAGCCAATCCCAAAGCAAAGGTCACTGACAGGCAGACGGTCTTAGAGGAGGCATACAGGTTGAATGAAAGGCCAGCGGAAGGCAGGCAGAGAGCCAGAGGCACCACCCTTCACTAGCTCCACACTGCCATCCAGAGGAGGAGAAATGCATGTTCCTGTGTTTTGCCTTTTATTTCTAGCACTAAAGTGCACACAGAAGCAAATACAGTGACAGCATGAAGCGTAATCTTCATCATATAAAGCAACATAATAATAGTGCAGCTCAGTAAATGTGTAGTTGAAATATATTGTGGTCTTTTTTAATTAGGCCACAAAATTGTGATTAATCTAGTAATAAAGAACAGAATTGTGAATGTCACAAACATTACAGTCTAAGGCCTTTAGTTTCTGGAGTGGCTTAGCTTAGCTTTATGTCTAAGTGTATGAGTGCTGAGACATGACACATCCTAAAATGTACTCCATAACAAAGTCAGCTTTTTGTACGCACATGTGCCGGCCCCCCAAGGCCCACCGCTGTGGTAAGTGTGTTTAAGAAACACTGAAGGCACTTACTGCAGTACCTCAGTCACTGGTCACATGCCTGTGGTTAAATGAGGTGCAAGGACATGTTTTTACAATGGCTCCTTCACCGGGCTGTACTTTTTTTCTTGGAGTGAGATTCCAGTGGGGCAGAACGAGGGACCCCAAACAGTGACAGCCATCAAAATGAATTCCAAATACTGTAGAAATACTTCCACTATAGAAAGAAAGTAGGCTTACAAACTTCCTGTTTTTTGTACTCAACTTTATAGAGGCTAGTTGCACAATGTTTTTATGTTGACTGTAGGTGAATTTGCTCCAGACAGACTATATACAGACCATAAACAGACTATAAACAGACTTCCCTCTTTACATAGGTGTTAGGCTGTATTGGCTACTGCACTGCCAGACACACCCATAAAACTGTCGAACATTTGGGAATTATCATCATCTATCCTTTACCTACCTGTAAATCTACCTGAAAAACACCTGAAAGGCAACCTGGGATCCCATGTTTTGATTGACACCCCAGAGTCAGTCACATCAAACCTACCAAAATCTAATACTGTTAGCTATGCATACCTTTACATGTCAATGTTTAATACTTAAACCTTTTCAGTTGCTTTATGAGTAGCTTTCATTTATCTGATTGTTGTAACTGTTGTCGGCCCGGTGCCATCTTTATTTCTAAAATAAAATATATATTTCTGTGACCTTTGTGTCTCCATAAAGCCTGTATGTTTGTGGGATGTGTTTGGGGAGTGATTGTTCTCTGTGAAGGCTGTTGTGATAGAGGTAAGAACATGTTTATGCCAGTCTCCAAACTATTTTATCATGGCTGTGGGAACCTTCAAGGATCTGAGCCTGACTGAGAGAGACAGTTGCAGACTACGTGAACAGCATCTCTGTTGACTGAACTTAACCAATGACTTTATGGTTACTAATATTTGTGAAGCGCACACACACACACACACACACACACACATACACACACACACACACACACACACACTATCTCAGCCAGTCATCCTTCAGGGTTGCACGGGATGCTAGAGCCTATCCCAGATGTCATTGGGCGGAAGGCAGGAAACACCCTGGACAGGTCACCAGTCCATCGCAGGGCAGATGTTTGTGAACCAGTCCCAGTCTATTTTTTCAGTTTTGTTATGTAATGATGAATGAACAATTGTAGCATAACTAATTTATATATAATTTGCATAAAATAAAACTGCTTTGTCCAAGTCTGTATGTCGTAGGGGAGAAATCCGAGGGCGCTTCTCTCCTTCTGTTTTTTTTTTACTTAACTTTTTGCGTGTGAGAATATTTGTTTATGCAAACAAACATGTTGACCTGTTGATGATGTTTCTCTGTTTCTTTCTACATTGTTTTAATCATCACGTTTTTACTTTCCTGTTATTCTGTATAGCTTTTTTTCCTATTACATTATCATTTTTCTGTTTTAATTCCAGTGTGTGGTCTTCTGTTGTCTTTAATTTCTCATTTGGGACAAAATATGAATGGGTGTTTTTCAGATAAATTTTTATCTTAGTCTTGATATAAATTATCAAATGCCATGAAAAACAGGTGGCACAATGCATTTGGACAGGTAGTGTTGTTTTGCATTCACCAAACCCAGACTGATCGACATGCTGCCATTTGGTGACTTATGATTCATTACTTCAGAGAAGGTGGCTCTAGAGCCCAATGGTGGCTTACTTTATTTATTTATTTAACATATTAGATGTCTCAGCAAAAGTAACTCATAGCTTGTTCTGTAAGCTTGTGTGATCTACCACTGAGTGGCTGAGCTACTGTTGCTCCTAGATGTTTCCACTTTACATTAACAGCACTTACAGTTGATCAGGGCAGCTCTAGCGGGGCAGAAATTTGATGAACTGACTTGGGAAGGTGGCATCCAAACAGAGCCATGTTGTAAAACTGAGCTCTTCAGTACGACCCATTCTACTACCAGTATTTGTCTATGGAGACTGCACGATATATGCTTAATTTTATGCACCTGATGAACAATGGGTGTTACTGAATCACCCAATACTGCTAATAATACTTGGCCATGCAGTGTACTGTTTGTGTATCTGACACCTAATACCTTCTAACCGCAGGAGATGAAGTAATTAATTAGAAATAACCACTGATCATATTCTTTTTAACTCCAGTTTAGCAGGGCCAACAGCCAGGTCTTCATAAACTAATGTGACAAATACATTACTGTGTACAGTGCAAAAGGCCAGCCCCATCACTAGGTCACACAAGAGTTACAGTTTCATTGTTTATTCAAAACAGTCATTTTCCCTTGCTTGGATATTTGAAAATAGAATTCGTTCGTAGTGCATTACTCATAAGCAGAGCATGTTTATAAATGATGATGGCAGTAATTCATCCATTCGCACAGGGCACATAAATATATGTTAGTTATCAGCTGAGGACCTAGGTGGTACTTTACATACAATTAGTGATCTTTTGAGGATAACAATATTCACTGCTATTGGAGTTCAATGTAGTTCATACAAGACATACTTTGGCAAATTCTTATGCCAACACAAATGGCCCTTTTTACAAAAACACACAGCATACCGATTCAGAGGTAACCTACTCTAAGTATGATGCTATCTCACAAACAAAACCATTCCCTCTGGCTGGAAACATTCCATCAGTTGCTATTGGCAGTCACTGTACAAAAATAATCTTTCCCTAAACTGGAGTCAGTGAGAGTCAGTGCTTGGGGGCTGCAAACAAAGGAGTGCTTAAATAAAGAGGGAACTTTTATAAATAAATATGTTGGAGTGCACACTCAAAAAAAGGGACTAAATAATAAAGTGTTAAAAACTATTCCTATTTAAAAGCTACATTTTTCCACAGTCTCCTCGATTTTAAGGACATGATGTGCTGCTATTATTTTTGACCAGAAAGCTAAAAAAAAACTGACTGACAGCTATTTATGTCACTTCACCTCCAGCATATGCAGCACATCTCTGTGACAGATATGATGAATCGCACAGACAGACTCTTTGGCATATGTGTGGGCACGAGAGACGTCTTGAGAATGGGTGGTTCTACTTTTAACTTAGCAAAAGTCTAATCATATAGGGCACTAAATGCAAAGGTGAAACCATTATGAACTGTAAAAGCATGGCAGAAGAAAACAGAAAGATGAGACATGGTACTGATATGTAGAGAGCGGAAAGAGAGGCTAGGTAGCTACACATCCTGGACCTTCATGGCTTCGTTGGGCCATGTGTAGGAGTCCAGTGTGAAGGAGTCATAGTCTGCACTGTAGATATGCGACAACACAAAAGCTTCTTTATCCTTGGGCTCTGGATACCATGATGCAACATCTTGCTTGTAGGCATAGTCTACAATCTGAAAGAGGAGGAAAAAAGAGGGTATATTGGAAGTTAAGATAAATAAGACTACACACTGTTCAGACAGAGTAAGATGAGTGATTAATTAAACCTGGACAACAGATTACATGTAACCACTGCGTGTCCAAACACAGTGTATATGGCTTTGTAAACATTTGCTCGTCCAATTTTTCTTCTGACATCAAGGGTATTAAAAGGGAGTTTGTCCCCACTTTGCTGCAGTAACAACCTCTACTCTTCTGGTTAAGCTTTACACTAGATGTTGGAACATTGCTGAGATGTTCTGACTTTCGCCACAAAAGCACTAGTGAGGTCAGTTACTGATGTTAGATGATTAGTTCTGGATCACAAACGTCGCTCCAACTCATCCCAATTGCACAGGATGGTGCTCCACTACCCAATGATGGGGGGGGCTTTATTTCTCTCTAGCTGATGGTTGGCATTGGGCATGGGGACATTAGGCTCAGTTGTGGCTGCTTTAATGTGTCCCACTCTATTGAATAGCAGTATAACGAACCATTCAAAGAACGATTAGTTCAGACTACTGCCAAACTGATGGCTGCGATTAAATACAGTGTGAACTGAACCAATTTGCTGTCAGCTCAGATGCACAGTCTTAACTAACAATGCTTTTCTTTAGAGGTTATACAAGCTGTGTGAGCTAAGTGCAGACCTGTATTAGCAACAGGTACACATTAAAGTAGTCAAATTCATTTGGACATACAGTGTATAATAGTGAAGTCACACACAGTTACCATGACTAACCTTCACGGCAATCTTAAAGGACACTTCTCTGATGGTGCTAAGGGGAGGGTATAATCTCCCCTCGGCCAGATGCTCCTCTGTAACCATCTCCGATATTGCCTGAAACACACAACATAGTTGTGTTCACAAACCTCTAGACTTTGGAATGCAAAGTTACATACAGCTGTGTGAGAACATTTGGGCTCCCTCAGTCTAATTAGATGTTTTGCTGACTTGTTGAAGTGGAAAGAAGTTAACAACATGTATGGAAAATGCACTACTATTCATTTGCTGGGCAGACATCATCTATATGGAATGGTCATCAGGAGTTAACCTTAATAGTGACCTCATCACAAAAGACAACATCTGAAGTACGTTAGATAAACCAAAGGCATTTTGGAAATCAAGTGCTGTGGTCTGATGAAACAAAAAAAGTATCTATTTGGCTACAATGACCAAAGGTATGTTTGGAGAAATAAAGGAGCAGTATTTGATGAAAGTAACACCTTGCCAGCTGTTAAGCATGGGGTGGATCCATTATGCTTTGGGGCTGTATGGCAGCCAGTTGTACAGGAAGTGTTGTAGGGAAGAAAATATTCTACTAAATATCAACAAATCCTGTCAGTAAAAGAACTGAAGATGATGTTGAATATTACAAAAAGAAAGCGATTCAGAACATACAACAAAATCTATCTTGTAATACTCAAAGAAACAAAAGTTTGTTTTTTTAAAATTGACTTTACATTCCATAGACTTGAGTATTATGGAAATCTGTTGGTAGATCTCAAACATGACATGCATGCAAAGTTTCTTATATATTTCTGACCTAGAAGTGTCCTGCAAGGAAAAGTAGGAAAAAAATCAGGAACAGACTGTTATCTGGTTCCAAGAAAAACTGAAGGCTATGATTTCACCAAAGTACTGACTCAAAGAGTGCCCTATATACAAGACAGATTTCATGTTTACTTTTTTCCAAATATTTAAATTTGTTGCATGCAGAGGTGGAACCCTTTATATGATTAAATATATGATTTGACCATGGTTGCCCAAACATTTGCATACAACTGTATGAATTATATGTCCTTAAAGAGATATATGGCTGTTTTTTAAAACCCATGGTCACCAATCCTGCTCCTACCTTCCTGCAGACTTTAGTTCCAACCCTGATTAACCCTGCCTGATACATCTAATCATTGCCTTCAGAAGTCCTTGATTAGCAGGCTGAAACCAGCAGGAAGGTAGCTCTCCAGGAGGAATTTAGGAGACCACTAGTCTAAACAGCTCCTCAGTAGTAAACTTGTAGTGACGTTTACCACAGTATTATGAGAATGTTCACCTCCGCTGTGGTGAGGAAAATGTCATCTGATATGTGGCGCACTCCACAGGCGATGACTCCAAGTGCTACTCCAGGGAACACGTAAGCATTATTGCCCTGGCCAGGGTAGAAGGTGCGTCCATCGGCAAGAGTGACCTTCTGAAAGGGGCTGCCGCTGGCAAAGATCCCACGACCCTGTGATACGCGCACACCCACCCACACACACACCCACCCACACACACACACACGCAACACACACATGCACACGCACACACACTTCAGTGTGTTTTCATCTCACACAGTACAATGTACAGTTAATTAGGCTAATAGTATAAACACTGATAAATTAGGTTAAGGTCAGTCTGCCCTGTTCTAGTACACTGGTAAATGGCAGATTGTAAATGTTTACACATTAACTCTGCACACTGTAAGGCATCTACATGGGCTCTTTAATGAAGTGTGATAGCTGGAAGGTGTGTGTTACCTCTGTGAGTCTGTAACATTGCTCTGCTGTGCATTCTGCTTTGCTGGTAGGATTACTGAGGGCAAAGATGATGGGCCTCTCATTGAAGGAGGCCATATCCTTTAGGATCTTCTCTGTAAAAGCTCCTCCAATGGCTGCCACACCTACACAAAGTAATAATAATCAAATTAACACATATTCGCTTGATAAAATGCCAACTGTGAACTAACATGAGCGCACTGCAAAACTATACTGATCTTCCTACAACAGGACATACTTTACATTCCGTTAAGTAATGGGTCATTCCACATCAGCTCTCCCAGGGGCTGTCCAATCATGTCCTAAATTCCCATGAAAAAAAACCTGAAGCAAAAGCATGACCGAGCTGTGCTAAATTATTAACTTAGTAAAAATACAACACTAAGAATAATTTCTTGGAGGATGTACTTTATTGTACGATTGTACAATATGTCATCTTTGAAATTTAATATTACAGTTAGTTTTCAAAATAATTGTTGCAAAATTTAGTTTTAACCTATTATATATAGATATAAACAACATTTTTTATTCTATAGATTCTATGAGTTATCAAGTTCTCAATCTAAAATGGCTTCACAGCTAAATATCCATTTTATGGGCTTTTTTGACCCCATATTTTCTCAAAAAAGACTAATCCTATTTCCTTCAATTTTTGTTCTGAACAATAAGTTATGTATTATTAAAATATTGTATAAACAAATGTAGAATATAAACATATAAATATGTAAAATATTACAGATATACTATGATTCATTCATGGTTGATTTTTTTTTTAAACTTGAGGTATTTGACCAAGAACTACATATAATAAACAGTAAAAGTGTAAAAAGCATAACACTGGATTTCCAAAATAAACGTTATATTGCTCCATACAGTCTGTAGTTTTTGCACAAATTTCTTTTATGGAAATCCATGACATGACCAGGCAGGCCCTACATTAGTTGGCATGGAATGACCAAATGTAGAAGAATCCTGCTCAATTAACTGGTTTAATACATTAGAGCTATAATTACCAATGACAGCTGTAGGTTTGATGGTTTCCACCACCTCCTCCAGAGTCTTTATATGAGGATGTTCATGGGCAAACTCTTCCTTTTCATGATTCAAGTGACTTCTGCCCTAAAGATCAAATGGCAACAAAACTGTGTTCAACATGCTTTGTCAAATGAAGAAGGGACTGTTTCACTTCGTTGAGAGTGTGGCGGAACACATAATATCCAGCAATCATGTAATTACATTTTAAACCTTAATCAAGCCCTCATGAATAGCCTTTTTCAGTTATGGTGTAGGAAGGCATCCACATCTTTGGGTAACAATGATAACATAAGCACACCTACACAGTAGTTAGACGACAATTGTTACCTTGACAATAAGCCCTTTAGAGTCCACCATCCAGATCCTCTTGACAGCATCAGCATGCGACACTCCCTCCTTAGCCATGGCCATGATGAGTAGATGAGCAATGCCCAAAGCAGCCTGATTACATGGTTAACAGTTTGCGATCAAATGACTTTGTGACTCATTACATTGTGCTTCTTATAATGTATAGTTATATATACATAACACAATTCACAATACAAATGACAAAACAATTCTGAAATAGTCTATATAGATATGAACTACATATCCTAAATATAAGATATATATTTACCATAATAAAAACAAAGTCTTTTGGTCTAAACAGTACCTCTCCTGCTCCTTGGAACACAAACTTGTGATCAGACAGCTTATTTTTGGTGATCTTCAGAGCAGCAAGTATGCCAGCAACAGCCACTGATGCTGTGCCTGAAAAACAGAAGTATTTTATTAGGACACTTGCACACCTGCCTTGTCTGGTGCGAAACAAATGTTTTGTTCAGTTTTGATAGGTGTGAACAATCCACCTGTTCTTGGGTGCACAATTTTCTCAGTGCATGTCAGCACTGTAATGTCTGCATAATCTGCTTGTTTTAACATTTGACTCTTTACAGATACTCTTATCATTCCAGCAGCTGCTGCTAATAATGACACGTGAGCTATAGTGAAGCAACTGCTTTACTATAGCGTGAACTGCAGAATGAGTTCAGCCAAGCATTTAGAGTAATGGATAATTAAACAATTGATCATGACGCAGAGTCAGGTTTATCTTTATTGCTCTGATTTTGATACATGTGGTCGTTAAAGAGGAAGTCCACCGATTTTTAAAAATTTCTGTATAATTCAGTCATTATATCAGAGATGTAATCAGAGTCATTCAGAGACATCTGATGTGAAATGCTCCATTCTAGAGAAGGTTTATTGAAACTTGGTTTCTTTACAGTGGTGGTGATAGGAACCAGGGATCGTAATGTCATCAATGCAGATACAGACATTGTATTTATTACTGAAAACCACAGATGAACCTACATGTCTTCAGTGTTTTTATATGCAGTGTTAATGTTAATGGTAAAATAGTAGTAAATCCAGAAATATCTGTTTACTTGGAGGACTATTTTTCTTTACAACCCCCCACACATACCTCTCCATCATGAACAAATTGAAAAAAAAAATAAAAAATTTTATATATATATATATATATATATATACACACACACACACACACACACAATTATATTTTTCTTTCTCAATTTGTTTCAATATATATTATGTCTCTGAATGACTCTGATTACATCTCTGATATAATGACTGAATTATACAGAAATTTTTAAAAATCTGTGGAATTCCTCTTTAACGACCACATGTATCAAATTCAGAGCAATAATATAAGCCTAACTTGATCTCTGCGTCATGATCAACTGTTTAATTATCCATTACTCTGGATTCTTGGCTGAACTCATTCTGCAGTTCATGTGCCAAAAGAAATTTCTTCACTATGTTTTAGCCAGAAATCTTCTCTAAGCTAAAACAATGTCTCGAAAATCAGTTCATGTATTTGTAAACATTTCATGTGCTAACTTTCTGTGAGAGCTTTTCGAGATAGCAAACTCTTCAAATGTCTGGTTTCCATCACCACCACTGTAAACAATTCTCACTCAGTAAGTTTCTCTATAATGGAGTATGTCACACTGAGCCGCACTGAATTACTTTTTTGTCAACTTAACCATTTATTATGCAGAAATTTTTAGAAATCAATGGAATCCCTTTATACTTATCTATATTTATGCAGATTAATAGGTAGAATTACACATTTTATCAAGAATATATTTGAGGGACAAATCTGGATATTATAAAATATTTTTTTTGCTCTAATGGAGGCAAACATGAAAATGTACTTGTATGCCTGCCAAATTCCTGATGGAATGTCTAATTTAGGGCACTTCAGTCACTGCAAAGTCAAAGCAAATGAAAAAGATAAAATGTCACAAAAACTCAAACTGTGGTGCACACTCTAACAAATGAGCACTAGCTATGACAACAACTTTCGATAGTTGCTGAATTCTCTTTTTTGTTTTAATCACTCATATCTACCTTGGATATCATCGTTGAAGGTGCAGTAACGGCTGCGGTACTTGTTAAGAATGCGGAAAGCATTGCTGTTGGCAAAGTCCTCAAATTGAATCAAGCAGTTCATCCCATACCTGCAATAAAGAACAAGGTTAATCACTGACCTAACATATCAGCATTTAAATTGCACTCTGATAGACTACCGCTGATAGACTTGATACTCACTTGTCTGTGACAGCCTGCATGAACTCATCAATGAGGTCATCATATTCTTTTCCCCTCACTCTTTTATGCTTCAGTCCAATGTACAAGGGATCATTCAAGAGATTCTGATCAGAAAATACAAAAAAAAAAAAAATAATAAAATAAAATAAAATAATTATACAAGCACATTCTGCAAGGTTTTGCGGAGAACCTGACAAAGATCTTACTTCAGAATTCTTCTTTACTGATTAAGACCTTCTTTAAACTTAGTATTAAAGTGGTGTCTGGATGTTGTTCATATACACGTTTAAAAGACAACCACGTTTGTGGCTATCATGTCTTCTGGGGTTTGTCTCATGAAACGATTACTTGCTTAACCAGCTAACTTTAAGCCTGGATTTTCTGCTTCATTTGTGGATTGACTGGATTTCTTACTGGATTTCAGATCCTGAGCACCTCTTGGGCCAACTGAACCAAGCTTCTGACCAATCAGGGACTGGCAGAGGTGGAATTTTTTTTTCTTCATGACGTTTATGCCATTAATCATGTGAAGAATATCACTTACTTAGCAGAGGAAGCAAATCACACTACATAGTTATTAACAATATAAGGCAGTTATTACCCAAAGAGCCACTTTTTACATAGATTTCTTTTTCTTTCTTTGTTCTAAAACAAGCCCTTCAAGTCCTCCTCATTTATTATGAGATTGGCTGTTTGTCATCAATGTCATGCTTTCATGTACACTACGACTAATCTGGGTTTGAGTATCTAAACCTGGGTTAATAGAGGAGGTTGTTAAGCTCCTTTGTGAATCGAGTTAACTCCAGGTTTTGTGAAGCTGAAACTTAATCAGGAACCCTGTTGAACAGGCTCCTGATCCAGTAGTTGAGGATGCACTGCGATGAGATCTGTGAGTAATCTAAATGCGATGCAGTCAACTTGTCTACGTTCATGGTATAAGGCAGTGGTTCTCTATCCTGTAGCCCCCTGTCCTGCATATTTTAGTCTTTTCCTGGTCCAACTAATCAGTCCTTCCTGAGTTGAAGCAGGTGTGTTAGAGCAGGGATTATACACCAAATATGCAGGGCAGGGTTTCTTCATGACCAGCAATGGGTGTGATCTAACATCACATGAGCTCCACCTGTAACTCTCAGTACTATTCCTGCCTCTCTCGTTTAGCAAGTTATTTTTTTCAAAAGGAAGGCTTGAAAAGCCAGTCAAATCAAATCACAGTGATCGGATATTGATGCAAAGTGTAAACAGAGCATAAAAGTAGGAAAGTAGGGCTGCATGAGATATCAGTATCAGCAAATATTTGCTTCCAAAAAAAAAGGATAGATATGGGACAGATGTTTTGAACAGAACGAAATATTAAAGCTATATTTGATGACATGTTTCTTGTACTCTGGAAGAGCAGAACATTTAGGCGATACTCAGCTACTACACTGAAATATCAGCATTTTATTTATTTTACTGCATCTGTGACCCTACAGAAATAAACGTTATTTCCCTATAACAACCACAATTCACAAATCGGTGCATCCCTACCTACCTAATGCAGCTTTAAACACAATTTTATCTGAGACTGAACCAATTAATTCACTGAACAGAAGAGCATTTTAAACCTCATTATCTGTGCCCACATCCAGCAGTACGGGCAGGCACTGCTGAGGATGCACTCCTCCACATGCTGTGTAGAGCGCCAGCTTGCCCACTGGAATGCCCATTCCATAACTGCCCAGGTCTCCCAGTCCCAGGATCCTCTCGCCGTCAGTTACCACAATGGCCTGATAATGCACACACACACAAAAATACATTAAACATCTGAAAATGCTAGCCTACATTCTCAGAGTGTGTTTGTGCTCTGTTAATAATCCACACACCTTGATGTTGTCCTCTGGCCATGAGTTCAGCATGGTGGCAATGTGGCCCTTGTCATGAATGGTGATAAAAAGTCCTCTGAAAGAAAAGAGATTTTCACTGTGAACCTCCACTCACACTGTATTAAGTCAAAAACTGGATATATATATATATATATATATATATATATATATATATATATATATATATATATATATATATATATATATATATATATATATATATATGAAATTGCTTTTGGTAATATAAGTGTCTTTTTGGAACTGACCGTGGTCTCCTGAAAGCCAGGCCATACTGCTGGCAGGCGAGGCCCACAGTGGGAGTGTAAACTATAGGCATGAACTCCTCAATGTCAGAAGTCAACAGACGATAAAACAGCTTTTCGTTCCTGTCCTGCAGGGTCATCAGCAAGATATACCTGCGAGAGGGAGAGAGGGAGAGAGCCAAAGACAAAGAAAAGAAAAGAAAAGGAAAACAAAGGAGAAATGCATTAGACATGTATAAGGCTGGTGTGATTACTTCACTTAAAAGAAACACAACACACACACCGCGACCCAGAAGGATAAGCGGTTTAGATGATGGATGGATGGACAACACACACACAAATTAAAATTTACCTTCTCAATCAACCTGCAATGATTTGTAGCCAATCAGCATGATAATACATATCATCACTGTCCAAAACAAAACCCACAAGTATGTCAATTTTTTGTGGTTTTTAATTTTCTGTATAAACACAGCAGCTGTCCTTTAGACTCTGTGGAAATTTCACGACAGTCGGAATAATGGAAATGCTCCAAAACTGCTTGAAAAAAAATCTCTACATTAACTTATATTGAAAGTAAAGAATGTTTCTGCCCTCTTCTGTGTACTTACCATTTTTGAGACACTTGTTTTCTTTGGACAGCAACAATATTTTAAATTGTTCTACTGGTCTCTCTTACAGAAGGAAGTAAAGTACTGTGCAAAAGTCAGAGACCACATTTTAATTAGCTTGTATCTATCTTGTAGAAATATCTATGTATGTGTATATAATGGCTGTTTCGACTTGAATTTCTAGTTCAAGTAACAACACGCACACAAACACATACACGTCTCTCTTTCATTCATATATACATACATATATATATATATATATATATGAATGAAAGAGAGACATATACAAACACACACACTGTACTCATATTATCAATAGTGATAGTTTCAGGTCTATAAATGTGGGTGTAACACAGTTCCATTCAAAACTAGTGATAGGTGAACATTACTTGTCCAATGGATTTATGCGTAACTCGTAGCTCTTCATTACTCGGAGCACCTGAACATCCTGGGAGAGAAAGCATGGAGGCAGCAGGCCGTGGATGCCCAGCTGAAGCCTCTCCTCCAGGGTAAACGCCATTCCCTGTAGGCCCAGAACGACACCTTCGTCAGCCACAACTACAAACAATGGCTGCAGGCCAAAAACGCACAGTCATCCCATAATCTGGTTTAAATTAAGTGCTTACTCTGTTTTGAGCCTGTCCTGTAGTCAGGGCAAGCTCCCAGCAGAAAGGAAACACATACCACATGTTGAGTCTATTTATTTCTGACCAATGGAAAGTCTGAGTGACTCTCCCTCCCCTGTTACTCTGCCTACACCCTCTCTCTTTTCCACTTCAAGTCTGGCTCTCTGGGTCCAGCCAGCCTTGCTTTTAATCATTTCTGTCTCTCTAAAAAAAAGGACCCACCCCCTGCATAAAAAATTTAAAAACAGGATACAGAGTGCAGCTGAAAGCAATTTTCAGAATAGATAAATTTCATGACATAAGCATATTGCTTTGCACAATCCTGACTCATGTCCGCAATGCAACTGCCCACTTCTCAAGAGAAAGTGCACTGGCCATAACACAAACCTCCAAATAATTCATCATTTAATGCATACATTACTTTATACTGTATATCACTCCATGAGAACTGGGCTTTCAAAGTGAAACAAGTTTAACGATACAATAACATATAGACTGACGTTATGCTGACTGCAGTGTTTCAGCAGGACAAGGTCAGGTGTGAGAGGCTTGCTGGTTCTGATTTACAGTCAAAGCACTTTCAGTCTTGTTTTATCAGTGGAAACTGATCTTATGAATATATAGCACCTCATAAACCTAATTCAGTCATGCATAATTCCTGTTAGCGTTCAGACACCCTTCATAACTTTTTAAAGGGGAATCCCATACGTTTTTTCAAAATTTCTGCATAATTCAGTCATTTAGATGCAAACACAGTCATTCAGAGTGTTTGATGTGAAATGGTTCAGTGTAGAAAAAATTACTGACTCAGATTTCCTTACAACGGTTATGATGTGAAACAGGGGTCACAAAGTCTACAACACACATATTTCAAGTTTATTACAATCCAATATGACCAGTGAACCTACACATGTATTCTGAATTCTCATAGAAATTGCTGATAACAGTAAAATCGTAGTAAATCTGAAAAAATACGTTCTGTCGTGCAACACCTTGTACACAGCCCTCTGTCATGAATGGCATGTAAGACATATGTTTTCTCAAAACTGTGTAATAGTTTTCTGCAATGTAGCTTTTAAAGGTATTAAACACTTTAGATGTCTGGTTCCGACCACCGCCACTGTAAACAATTCTGACTCAGTTTCTCTAGAAACTGTCTAGTCTAGTCTTTTACCTCAAAACATTCTGAATGACTTTGTTTCCATCTTATTTATTTAATTATGCATACATTATAAAAGTGTAATTCCCTCCTTTAGCACGGTTAACGCAGCTGGCCTGGAGTACCGTCCACTGTTTTAGTGCTTTGCCAGCTCTACAACTCCTACACCCACTCAGGAAGGGCTTGGTCATCTGGCTAATTAGTTGGATCAGCAAGAATGAAACACAGCGAGGCTGAATTTGGCTTCTTATCCGAATTTTTCCGTTCCACCTTAAATGGTGCAGCAGTTACATTCTGGCCACCAGCATCACTCAGCCTGTTAACAGAGATATCGGAGAAGTTGTGGGGGCATTACCTTGTTGAGGTGGGGGTTTCTGGTGATATCATAGCCCCGTTTTTTGGTGCTAATACTGGGCCTGGTCTTCCCGTCCGAATGGCACACTCTCAGCCCGGCGAGGAGCAGCGGTCTGCCGGCGGAGAGAGCAGCCGGAGCCGGGCTGGATAGAGACCTAAGGGCGCCGGAGGTCCGTCTGCACAGAGACAGCACACTCTTGCCAGAGATAGAGTTCATGTTTCCTACAAGGAAATGAATAAATAAACAACATCAGTCAAAAAAATCGGCCGTACATCATTAAGAAACGCGACCGGCTGCTTCAGTAACAGATACGCTTGATGCGTCTTCAGCAAGTTCTCTCTGTAAACAACGTTGGGCCTTGAAGGGTAAAAACGCCCTACTTTAAGAAAATAACAGCGTTAAAAAGAGAGACAGCTGGTGTTATTTACAGACTGGGACACTACATAATGTGTAGGAGCCGCAGACAAAGGATAAAGCTTTGTCATGTCGAATCAGCTAGACCAGTTGTAAGTTAGCTTGGTTAGCTAGCTGCGATAGCAGCGACAAAAACACACGAAGCCCGAAGACGAATGAAGATTACCTGAGGTGAGTTAAACACAGAAGACTCGCTTTCGCTGCTATGCGCACACAGCTTCAAACTGCATGTGATCTGACAGCGGTACCTGCAGTCTGCCTCCTGCCTGCTGTTTACTGCCGGGGGATGTTGCAATCCGCTGATCCAGCCGACTCAAGCTTGTTTGACATTGATCCGCTGTCGCTCCCTCATAGTCCAGCCTCAGGCCCGCCTGCGCTCCCACAGCCGTCCAATCACAGCAGGCCAGGAAAGTGAACCGGGATCACGAGCCAAAGAAAAAAAAGAAACTGAGGCTTCTACTGTACCTCCTTCTTCTCTCAGCCAGGCTACACTCTTAAAAAGATGGTTCTTCAGGGATTCATTAGAATGGGAATGGTTCTGTTTAGTTTCATCTAGAACAATTCCATGTTTAAATCGTTCTTTGCTTGGTAAGAAAAGTTCTTCAGATTGATGGAGAATGTGTTGTATATGGTTCTAGAGCCTTTCTGAAAAGGGTCCTTTTATTGTTGTAAGATTGACATCATGACAATAGAAGAACCATTTTTGGTGCTATATAGAACCATTTTCAAAAAGGGTCTATATAGAACTATATACAACATAATCTGAAGAACCTTTTCACCATGCAAAGAACCATTTAAGCATCAACTGGTTCTAAATAGAACCATTCCCTTTACTAAAGGTCAACTGAAGAACCATCGTTAAGAGTGTAGCAGCTCTGTTAGTGAGAACAGTGTAGAATTTGTGGTGAAGAACTGTAGCCATAGCATGAGACGGTCTGATGGTTTTAACATTTTCTCTGAGTAATTAAAAAACCCATCACGTCCATTTTCCTTGCTTTTTTTTCATGAAGGCTCATTGTGCTGTTTTATTTACCAAAAACAGTCCTACTTCATTTTTTCATGACAATTTTAAACCTCTCTTTATCTGTTAAACATAAAGTCTATTTTTGTCACTATGCCCTTAGATATATGTAAATTATCTCTGATCTGATTGGCTGCACTGCATAGTATCTAACTGAATAAGACAGCCAGGCTGAAACACTCCTTATAATGTCAATGTCAATGGGTGGAGCGAAATTGTTGAGGGTTGAATATGTGGATATAGGTGTGTAGGCGGGGATATCAGTTTTCATGACATCACAAGAACAAACAACAACAAACGTCAATGTTTACGTAATGCATCAAACTTATATTTTTAAATAAAAAAGCAAATTTGGTTTTCCATGATGTGGTCCTTTAAAATTGTTTCTACAAAAGTGGCACAAATGAGACACTAGAAGTGATTTCTTCTCACTAACGTTCATGTTTTCCTTGAAAAGGAGGAGGAGAAAACCTGTCAAGTTTGAAAAAACAACTCAACTCTACCATGGTGGTTCCAAATTTGTTTATTACTAGTCACAGATATTGTCATTAAAAAAGACTGAAAGTAAGCACACACAAATGTGCCACACAACTATACTTCATATGCAGCCAAAGCCAGACTGCTGTACCCAGCAAAATATGTGCAAAATTAGTTGAACAGCATGTCTGAAACACAAAATGACTCCACTGTCAAGGAGCCAAAGGAAACTGAAGCACAGGCTGAGGAATATTACCCAGGGCTTGTGCCGACTCGCACGTCCCTTTTTAATATTTGGGATGTACACAGGCTTCATTTTGTTACCACGGAGTCTGAATTTGGCCACACAAACGTATGTATTCATGTGCAGATTTAAATGACCTCTAAATTCCTTCACAGCTGACTCAAGCCTCCACTTTCATTCTCTGACACAAGCTGCCTTGCTTATAAGCATACACAACACACAAATCATCCCCTTTTTATCCACATTGTTACTTTTGTATCCCAGTGGAGCAAGAGAAACTGATGAGGAGGATTTACAGAAAGAAGAGAGAAACGTAATAAATGGAAAGTGAATGTAAGGCTGCAGAAAAGTTGAGGGGGAAGTTAAATGGGCCCAGTTTGCAGACTTGAGTACTACTGGAGAATGAGGAGTACAAGACCACACATATGTGAGGGGTATTTCACAAAGCAAGAGTTGTCAGTTGGTCTGTCCAACAGGAGAAGAGCTAAGGAACATTCCTATTGGACAATCCTCAACTTCAGACTTAATTTACCCAGCTTACTGAGAAATCCTACTTTGTGAAATGCCACCGGGGTCTGAAGGACACTCATAATAAGGAAGTCAGGGGAAATGTAAAGAGAAATGTAAGGCATACGTTAGAGGGGAATTCCACCAGTTTTTCAAAACTTCTATATCATTAAAGGGTTAAAATGTAAACATAGTTATTTGGGGTGGTCTGATGTGGATTACTCCGTTCTACTTAAACTCGCCAAGTCAGAACTGTTCGCAGTGGTGGTAACCAGACATCTGAAGTGCTTAATCCCCCGAAAAAATCGACCTTACAGAAAGTTATTACATGAAATGGTTGCGAATACACTGCCTGATGCCTGAGACATTGATTTATGATAATATGGTGTTGGCCTAAAACTTTTTTTTTCTAATCCATTCATGGTGGAGAAGTGAATGCAGGACATTTTAAGGGAATACAGTAACAAAAGAAAACATATTTTTCAGATTTTCCAATTTTGCAAAAACATTTTTTTATATGGCATTCAAGGCAGAGAGGTACATGCAGGGTGTTGCATGACAAAATAGTACTCAAAGAAAACGTTTTTTTTCAGATGTACTACTATTTTACCATTATCAACATTACATATGAAAAGTCATAAAACGTGTATATGACTATATTTGTGTTGATGACATTGCAATCTCTGGTTCCTAGTCAGTAAGTTTTTACAAACCATTCTAAAGGACTTTATACATTTCAGTGTATGCTATATAACAGTCTCAGTTACTGAGTTAATGAGAAATGTTGAAAAATGGGTGGGATTTCCATTAAATAAATGTGTGCATGTAGTCTTCCTTCATATCAAAGACAAAAAACCCACCACCAAACTGAACACAAAACAGATACATGTAAACACAACAAATCTACACTGAAATTGAATCATAGCTTTTTGGGATATAATTATTTCATATAAAATATTAGCACTGCCTGACTTGACAGCACTCAAACTGTAAAAGCAAACAAACAAAATCTAAAAATACAAAACATTTTTAAAAAATATAACAAGGCAGGAAAATCTATGAATTTTAAAATTACAAAACTGTTTTAAAACTATCATCCTCTTCTACCACTGGCCTAAGGCTGTTCACTCTTTGACAGTGACTTTCTACAGAAAACTCTGGAATCCCTCCCATTTACTGAAACTTGGTCATTCTAATTTAAGAAGAAGCTGGGTGAAAATGCAGGATTAGGCAGTACAACGCTTCAGATCACAACACTGACGCCACTGCGAGAGCTCTTATCCTGAGAGAGAGAGAGAGAGAGAGAGAGAGAGAGAAAGGAGGAGGGGAGTAGTGAATGGGCAAAGAAAGAGAAAACCAAACAAGGGTGAAGAGCATTTGAGAGGTTGTTCAGGAACATGAATGACAAAAATGAACCTATAGCTAACTGAAAAATTCATGCTTTAAAAATGTATTATCCTTTCTGAAGGCTATGTTTTTACCTCACTGCACTCTGTTTATGCAAATCTTGTAGAAGTGACATTATCAGCCACTGGCCCTTATTTATCAAAGCTGCATGAAAAGAGTGCAGATTTGACCACCTTTAATGAAATATGAACTACTGTACATCTGATTCACGAAACTTTCATGTAACATGGAAACAAGCAAGTTCAGGAAAAAAACAAACCACAGCCTACCAGCACCTCATTTACATATCATTAACATGAAGCATGCCCTCATTCATGCAGATGTGCTGCCCCTACTGACCAAACTTTATAGTGTTAAAATTATAATGACTTAAAAGAACGAAATGTGAAATACACAAAAGTTAAAATAGTACAATCATATGTTTGTGAAGTGTGATTATTTTTCTAATATAACATTTAAACATACTGTTTATTTTTAGGCAGAGTCAGTAGTATAAAACAAAAGCACAGTGTAATATGTCTAAGTGAAACACGGAATAGTTGCAGTATTCATTTTTACCACTGTGCATGTAAAATAAGTGAATCCACTTTTGTACTGGATTCCCATGAGCACAAATGATTAGTACTGTTATTTTACATTTTAAGTCTTAGTCTTGGTTAGTTAATAAAATATCAAGCATTTTTCCAGGTTAAAACTATTATGCTCAAATTTACACACCCTACTGTCAGATGTTATTTTAATCATACAAATACACCAAGGTCAAATTGATGAATAACAAAACTGTTGGTAAAATTTGCATGCGCTCATTTATGATCAGATTCGACCATACACAACTTGGATGAATACGGGCCACTGTCTACAACTTGCAGCAGTGAGACACATTTTCAGAAGTTAACAAGTGACTTAAATTCCTGCAAGGTTCAACTACTTTAAAGTGGTAAATCACAAAAACACAACAGCCACTATCTGTAATGCCAGGGTTTCGACTGTGGCCTTTTGTTAAAATTCAGTTAAACTAGCATCTAAAATTGTAACTATGCAGTATAGAGTTAATTTTGTACCAAAGGTTTTAAATGAAATAACAAACAAAACATTAAGTATCAAAATGTTAACAATGTTCTTTTGCTTCTGGAATCACTCCGTTGCTTCTGGTCAACTGACCTTGGATTGGTAATTCTGCTAACCTTTGGCCCTGCCCACTACATCGTGATATGATCCCACTGTACCAAGTGAAGTATTGTACAGATACATCTGGTTTTTTAAAATAATCGGACAGTACATTAATGCACTCTGTACCTTGTGTTCCACCATGTAGGGGGCATCCTGCTTTTCACAATGTGGGAGTAGGCACTTAAAGTGAACTCAAGACTCCCCAGCCCATTAAACAAGAGCAGCAAAGCAAAAGAATTTTAACTGTTAAAAACGAACTTTTACTGATTTTAATGTACTTGATGTGTGCACTTGTGGCTGCATTATCCACAAAAATATACATACAGGACCAACCACTGGTGTGGGAGGTTGTCAATCTTAAAAACTTCATCAGAACATCCTTATTAGATTCTTACCGAGTTGGTCCTCCTGCTGTGGCCAGGCTGGATCTCGATGGAGGAGTAGCTGGGTGGTTTTTCAGGCCAGCCTCTGTCTCGTGAACTTATGGCTCCTCTGTGACTGTCCTCCTCTGAGCTCCAGGAGCCACGACGAGGATTTGCCCGTTGCAGCTCCTCTATCAGCTCGTCTTTGCTGCGTGCTCGTGGGCGTGAGGGACGCTCCCCACCTGAACCTCCCCTGCGTCCCTTTGATCCCCGGCCCCGTCTGTCGTCCCAGTCTGAGTCGTCACTATGACTGCGCAGGATCCCGCGCCGTGATGACCCAGGATCCCGCTGTGAGTCATCATGGTAATGGCCCGTACGGTTTGAGCTGCTGCTGGACTGGCTGGAGAAGCGTAGTACCCCACGGTTATCCCTTGGGGCTCTGCGAGAGGTCAGGCTTGGGGCTCGGCCCACAATGGGGGGCAGCTGGATGACCCTGCGCTCCACGCCATGCACACCCATCTCATCCAGGGCTGAGAGCATGCTGGGAGGCCCGGGGGTGAAGGGTACAGCCTGTGTTAGTGGCTGTGTGGGCTGTACAGGCTGTGGTGGAAGGGCTATTTGCTGATGAGGCAGAGCCTGAAGAGGAGCCACCACATACTGAGGCTGAGTCTGGAGAAGTGGAGCTTCCATCCCCCTCACCTGATTCTCCAGGAAGTCCAGCATCTGGTTGGTGCCATGCACACTACCCTGCATACTCCCACGCATGCTGCCATTGGCTTGGACTCCATGTGGAAGTACTATAGGTGGCCCAGGTTGGGGTGAAGGGATAACCATCGGCCCCATTGGCATATTGTGTTTAGACGGGTACTCAGAAAAAGAACCTGTGAGTTGAATATTTGTAAAAATTATAAACAGAATCAATGTACACACGGACTGTGAATGAAGCACCATTTGTCTTACTCTATACAGGATCTTAAAACAGCTATAAGTAAGATACATTAGCAAGGTTGTGTTATGGACCTGAGTACAGCAAAGGGTTCGCCTGAGAGGATCCATTAGAGCCAATGGGAGAATAGATGGGCTGGCCATGGAGCCAAGGAGCCATGGCTTTCTGAGCGTCACGCATCATCCTGTGTTGCATCACCACTAAAAGAAAAACAAAAGAAAGAAAGAAATAAAAAAAAAAAGGAAGAAAAGAAGTACATTTTGATTCATTAATATACAATTCATTAAGATTTCCTTTATACATTATACATTTTGTGAAGTTTCACTTTTACTATAAAAATAAACAAATAATAAAGCAATAGGCAATTAAATTTTTATCATGGTTAAAGGGTGTTGTTACGCACGACTCGAAGCGGAACTGTGACCAAATACAATGTGATAAAATACACCACTCTTCAATAAAAACGTATTATTATGAATTCTATTACAAATTGCAACAAATAATTATTGCACCAAGCAATGTAGTTCACTAACAGTAAACAACAACTGCCAAACAACTAGCCTTGTGGGTCCAGATGTGGTCTCTTAAAAAGAATTTCTGTGGACAACCATGAGAAAATATGGGCGAAATGACGGTGGTAACATTAACTTATTAGGGTGGGTATGAGTATGACATTTCTACACCAATCCAACATCTCATGATGGTTGAGCCCATAGTAGGAGGTGATGGTGCACCTTTCAACATTTTCTCGTTAGTCCATGGATGTAAGTTAGCATGGCTGAAAAGTCCTCAAAATACACCTAGATGTGTGTCGCATGCGCAGAGAACGCATTACATGCAGTAAAAATAAATATTACTTCTTGTAAGGAAAAAACTCTCCCTTAGCCAACTATAGTGTTTTGCTTGTGTTATCCTTTGCACCAGATGTTAAAAAACCAAGACCAGAGGAATTCATGGTGGGTTTTAGAGGGGGGCATACCCTTGTTTGTGGTAGATTTTGCCACAACTCTGCACCAAAATTTAACAAGTTGTCCCCAAATGTGCATTCTTGCTAAGAGATTACATCCGACCTAACAAACCTACCAAACAACATGACAGCCAAGGATTATTCCAAAAACAGCACAATGACTTAACAACTTTGTGCATTAATACAGAATTAGACTATGTGTAGTCATATGTGTGAATGGAGTACTTTACAATTATATTTTTGAACGTGGCTCAGCCAATGAGATCTTAGAACTGGGACTATCCGTTTTATAACATGGATTTTCATCCTTACACTTTACAAAGCAGAAGTGTTGTATATTGAACTTTCCTGCAGTCTGACATCAAACTGGCTAGGCCACTAAGTGCTGATGGAAACTGCAGAGTAAGCAGACAAGTACTGGTGGGGGTGCAGGCTGATTAGTTTATTTACTTTTCTCTGGGCAACAGCACGTCTTGGGACAGCAGGGGCAGCGTACATAGCAGCAGCATTTCTGAGGACAGCACTGACAGCAGCAGACACCGAAGAGTATGATCAGCAGCAATGCCCCAATGATGATCAACAGCACCGTCAACCAGTCTGAGGGAAGGAGAGATGACATAGTATTACATTCTATTCGGCAATAATCTGTGCTTATTAACAAGTGTTTAACCTCAATATTTGAAGTGAACCTGAATTCAGAGGGTCCACCTCTTGCTCATACGTTAGGCAGTTATACTTGCACACAAGTTTATTTTAACAATAACCTGAACTCTTTTTTATGACACTCTCTTGCCTTTTGCTGTGAAAATACAAGCAAAGTGATTCTTTTTTTACTTAAACATAAGTTTATTTTTATTTTTTATCTTTGGCTTTTCTGCAAAACAAATTTTGCCGACTGTCAGAGTCTGATTTCAAATTTTGTTTTAGAATGCCTGCTGTTCACAATCCAATCAAATCCTGAAGGATAAAATCCTGTCCCGCCCACAATCATTTCCCGCCTGTCATGTTAAGGAAAAACAGTGTGTTTTAAATTTCCAATTCACAGTGACTTTAAGCTGACATGTCAATACGCAACAGTTAGTGGATGGTCAGTTATTGTGTTGCCATTTAAGCTTGAATCATCACTACAAATCAGAACTATGTTCTAAGATATGAACAAAATAAGGTTACAACTAATTGTAAGCGAGTATTGGGCTTCTTACGGTATACAATGAGCTTGATTTCCTTATCAGAGTCTCCTATGGTGTCTCCAGCTGCATCAATGGAGCAGAAGTACATGCCATTGTCCCACCACATGACCTCAGTGATGACCAGATCTGCTTCTGTAAATAAGCGCAATTACACTAAATAAACTCAACTGACCGTGCAGGAGCACATTATAATTTAACTTAATTATAAGTTAACGGAAGAAAGCAGAAACACATGCACATTTGTTTTGTTTTTCCATTTTGATGAAAGTGATGGTTCAGCCTAAAATCAAATTTACACAATTTTAGCCTAAAACAGGCCTTAGTTAACTGGCTACATTTAGGGTTTGGAGAAAATTGTGTCAATAGTTTTTTTGTTTTTTTTTGGTGGATTGTAGATATTTGTCATGTTTTTGTAGATTAAGAAAAGAGTTATCAGTATTTGTTTAAATGCTTTGGTCAGCACTGAGCTCACTGTTTTGGATGGTGATCTTGCGTTCTCGATAATCTGCCCCCAGTATGGGTTCATTAATGCCTCTCTTCTGGATGACCGTGCGGACAGTGCGTTGCCGATCAGGGCAGTCGTTGGCTGGGTCCTGTCCCAGAGTCAGAGCCGCTTGGTACGCTGAACAGAGACAGAGAACATTCACAATTAACTCACTGACTTTACATTACAGTAATATTAAAATGAAATTCAGGGACTACAGCTGTTCATTTACATGTCCACAGACTGAATATTTACATGCAGGTGGTTGACATAACATCCATTTTTTTTTACTCCAAACTGAATAAAATGAAGACAGTATATTCTTTGTAAATAGTATAATATGGAGCAGATTAAGTGCTTTTTCTAAAACCGTTTTTTTTTTCAGCAAATGGCCCAACGTCCTCTGCTGTGACCTGCACAGTGCTGTACTAATGGTTTAAGGCACCTGAAAAAAATCTATATTAAAAGCTATTCATCTGGTCAGTAAGTGTTTATTTGCTCAGAAAAACACAATAATAAAATAACTACAAACAGTATTAATATAAGAAGTAAAGGTTTTACGCATGTCAAGGTGTTTGTTTAACTATTATATTATATTTAACACATCCACGTGTTGGCTGGGAGCATTAAGGAGAAATCTAGAGCTAAAATTTGTTCTTCAAACTAGCTCGATTTCAATAAAAAAACCAATATTACTACTTTTTACTGTGCTTTTTTGTTTTTATTCTAATGTTATATAGTATAACTATAAACACACTTGCTGCCTGGATGAATGGTTTTAAACAATTTGCTTAGGTGCCTTAGAAGACTTTCACAGTACGTGTGTGAACTTTGCTCGTTTGAACTTAAATTTAAAAATATTACAGAAGGGTCTATTTTATGAAACTAACATATAATACTTAAAATCACTGGAGACTATTAAATTTTGTCTTACAAATTGATGTCCCCTGCTATAACTTCTTTAATATTAATTATTATTAATATACATGTATCAGCATTAAAAAAATCAAATATTGTATTGTTCCCATTGCTGTTTTGTTGGCTTTAAAAAGTAATCCTGACCATTAACAGCATTTAAGTATATAAACATATAAATTTGTAGGTCTTTTTGAATTGTTAAAATTGTCACTAATGCTACTTTGTATGATATTTTGACGTTCTGTTTGTGTAACTTAAATGAAATAATCAATTATCATTATAAAGCACCTGAGCTTTGTTTTCATACGTGACACATTGTCCTGTTGTGTGTAAACAAGTAAACAACAATTTCTGTCACATACAAAACAATATATGTGTAAGTGTAATTTCAAGTTATACTAAGTTTATAAATAAACCTTTACTTATGGCTGACTAAAAAGCAGTCTTTGGTCAACTTTTCTTTTAAAAATAACATGATTTTATTATTTTAAATTAATAATAAATAAATGATTAAAAAAAAGTTTGTATTACACTGAAATACATATTTTATTAAGATCGCTAGATTGATGAAAAGGAAAGGATGAAATTAGAATGGTAATTTCAGACATTACACATATAAAAATATAATTAAATTGACAGTGGACCTCATTCACAAATATCTTTCTAGGTTTTTCCTTAAATGTGTTCTTGAGAAAGGTCCTAAGAAAAAGTCTACATCAGATTCATGACGTGTTCTTAAACCACAGAATTGTTCACACCTTTGTGCTCGAATGAGTGTAGATTCTGTTCTTTCTTAAGAATAAATCCCAGAAAAGAAAACATTGATGAATGTCAGAATCTTTGTGAAAACTATGTAAGTGGATTTAAAGAAGAAATTTAATCTTAAACGAGGAACGAGGCCCATTGACCTCAATAGGTCCTGAATAATTAGACTGCAAATGTTTGAGTTGGACAATGTTTACCCATGTGTCTGTTCAGCTTACTGATATAGACTGAAATTAATAATGTAGATAATCAGTGTCTGTTAACTTACAAAAGCAAATAAAGGCCAGTCTCACTGTTACATATACAATCCAAAACCAGTCAGGAAAGGAAAGGAAGTTAAAGATAATTAAAAATGCTGCACCGCATGTTCTCTGGAATTGCTCAGATCCTCATTAAAGTGTACCTGTTGAGTAATACTGCAACACTGGGTCCAAGCAGAAGGACTTGTAGCGCCATGTAACCAGCACATCCTGTTGGTTGGCTGAAGTCGAGTAATCACAACGCAGGATGATAGAGGCAAACAGAGTTGTGCTTCTCTCTGTGTAAGGAACTGTTACCTGGATGGCAAGCAGTTCTAAAAAGTACAGACAAAGCAAAGACAGTTTCAAAGCTCAGAAACAAAACATATTTTATATATTGGCCTGTAATACATTTTTCAATGGCAGAGTTGAACCTTTGGATAATGATGGAGCATACAAATAAATAAACATACACTAAAAATACAGCTCTAAAAACAAACATGACGACTGTAATTGTATGTGACGGGTAGTAATCGTTTATTAACACAGAACAAAAAGGTTGAATAAATGTTGGCAGCAATCCTGTAACAATAACCAATTCTTCATTTGCTCTGGGTGATTCCAGAGCTCTACTGCACATCAAATCATGTCCACCTGATTCTGACATTCAGATGCTCTTGGAGGCTTGTTTAGCTGAATGAGAGAGACAATTCATGAAGCTTTACAGTACAGAAGTGCTGGTCTAGGATCTGATTTCTCTCTTATTTACCATGATCCCGCTGACAGAAACAGGCCCTAGATCAGACCTCCTATTCTGAGAAGCTTTATGAATACAGGGCCTGTTCTGTTAAATTAGGACTTTGTAAATACTTAAAAGCAAGTCAATGTCAGGGACTCCTACCAACGAGGACCACGTAGACTGTAAGAGGAACAGTACATCATTGTAAACTACTGAAATAATGGAATTTTCTGTAGCCTCAGCAAATTAACTCAAGTGTAAAATAAATATTTACTTGCCTGTATTGTGGTATTTACTAGACTTAAAAAGTTTGCCAATCACTTGTAATTTTTGGAATTGCAGTTATTCTATTCCATTTTAATTATACAATGTAGATAGAAATACTATAAGCTAAGCAGCATTACAAGATGTAATACAACATGTTTTTTTTCAATATTTCCAGTTATTTTAGAACAGCAAGCAGTTTAAATGACATTAGAGATGAAACGGTTACCGGTTTCACGGTAAACCGCGGTAAAATTAATGACGGTTAATAGTACCGTTTGTACTTTAAAGTATCGTTAAAACTGCGGTTGATTACCGTGGTGTGAAAAACTGGCTGTACAGAGTCAAACAAAGGCAGAATCATCTCTCAGACGCAGCTCTGTGTGTGTGTAGAGGGGAAGGGGGAGGGGGAGAGAGGGAGAGGGAGAGGGAGAGAAGGGAGAACATGGCGGAATGTAGTGACAGAGATTTGGAGATATTTCAGCCTTCTAAGAAGACCAAGTCTGACGTTTGGTCATATTTTGGGTTTTATAAGGATGCAGAAGGAAAGTTAATTGAAGATGACCACCCTGTCTGCAGAACAGGCCGAAAGAAAATAGCGGCGAAAGGGGGCAACAAATCAAACCTTACGAGTCATCTTCGCGACCACCACCCGCTACTTTTTAGAGAATGCAAGGTTAACTTTAACGTAGAAGTCTGTGGAGACTTCGAAATAGAAGAAATGTCATGGTTTGTGTGGTTTAACTTATGCTTATGGTTCGTTAATAATATAAAATGAAAAATATGAAAAAAAAAAAACAATCGGTGAATCAACTGTGAATCAAAACTAAAGCTTTTAACACATTTCTGTGGAGCAGAGTCTCCAAAATGAGCTCTGATTTAAGAGTCACACAAGCTCTGGAACGAGGCGCTGCAAAAGTTCAATCTGCACAGCTTCCCTTTCTCGCCTCGCTTGCAGTGTTTACTGTCTGAGAAGAGAATAACACCATCTCAAATCACTCTGTGTCCCCTACGTAGTGCGCTACTGTTCAAACATGAATGTTGTTAATGTTGATTATAGATGACTTAGTCGAGCATTTCATGCACTCTTTGGGTGAAGGATTTGCTATTTCATGATCCATGAAGTGCACTACATAGGGACCTCGCGAGTAAACGCTGTGCCGCTTTTAGGAAAAGCAGAGTTTCAGAGATTAAACTTCAGGAGTGTTTCTGCTGCAGCTCAGATGCGCGTTAATGTTAAGTTATGTTTTAGTTTTAAAATGCTTTTAGAGAAGCAGCTCCACAGGTTAAGACACGCTGTGTGAGTTCTACACTGTCTGCAGCTCACAGCGCGGTCACGCAGTTCCTCTGTGATTTTGGCTGTTTTTCCTGGTGCGCTGTATTGATTAGGGGTTCAGCGCCACAACGGCACAATAATGCTGCAGTTGCAGTTCGGACAGAAATCCCCCGAGTGCAACACTTCTTAGAAGTAGTAATTTTCCATTAAGACCCACCTCAGAGTTGGTCTAGATTTAATTCTCTATGCAGGGAAATCCCTAGTTATTATAATTAATAATAATAATAATAATAATAATAATAATAACAGTAATAATAATAGTAATAACAATAGTAGTAATAATAATAATAATAATAATAATAACAGTAATAATAATACATTTGCTATTCTTTTGTTTACAGAGTATTACAAGTATTGTAAGTAATACAAAAGTAATATTACAAATATATTGACTATATTTTTTAATGTTTATGCAAAGAAAAAGTGCATATTGCTGCCAATTCTATTTGTGTTAATATAAAAGTTGGTGAAACGAGTTTCAGTTTGCGTATCAGTATTTATTTATTTATTTATTTTACTTTTCAACACATTTGAACAATATCGCAATAATACCGATAATCGTGATAATTTTGGTCATGACAATCGTGATATGAAATTCTAATATCGTTTCATCTCTAAATGACATACAGTAATTATTAATATTTAGTAATTCCTTGATAAGTTATCTTCAAGATTTGACCATCACGTTTCATATAAGTGGCATTCTGGGTGTTAATTTTATTATAACTTCATTCTCAATGTTATACAGCTTTCTCAGTCAAAATCATCTACAGCTCGTTCGTCATTCTGGACATGTCTAACGTTTCTTCATTTTTCTTCACCTACTAATTAGCTGAAATCTGTAAAGTTGTACAGTATAAACATCATTAGCATCAACAGAGCTGATTCATACATTTATCTGCATTTTTTTTTAAATTGAAAACCATAATCTCAAACTTTTGTGTTGTAATTCCAAAAGTTTGAACACTAGTGCACAGTACTGAGCAGATGTCAGAGACCACCTTTGAATCATTTCATTTCCATTAAAACAGCCATTAAACAGACATTACTCATTTTTCAGTGTCAGGAAAAAAAATGAGAAAACATATTTAACTCTTTTTACAAATATAATTTACAGAGATGCTTCAAGAACTACAAGCTCACTAGATTTTAATTAAAAAAAGCCACTCATTACTTTTTACTGTTTTTTTTGTTTTTATTCTAATGTTATATAGTTATATATACACAACACTAGAAACACACATGCTGCCCAGCTGAATGTTTTGCTTAGGTGCAAAGATTTGTCACAGTATGAGTATTACATATAGATTTTGTTCAGTAATTCGTGTGCCCTCTCTTTCCCTTTATTACAGCTTCCATTCTTTTCAGGAGACTGGCCTTCAGTTTTTTAAAGAAATCTGCAGGGATATTTTTTTACACTTTCAAAGTTCAGTCTTAGAAGTTGGTTGCATTTTATGCTTCTCCCCATCTATATAATCCTAATTACAAAACTACGGACTTATCAGTCTTTAAATCCTTATTCCACATCTCCAGTGCCCAGTTTCAGTGTTCTACTGCACATTTTCTTCTTTGTTTGCCTGTTTCTTTTTCTCAGTAAGAGCTTCTCGATCCTTTCAGACTCATAGTGTTGAGTTGTCTTCTCATAGTGGAAGGATGGACAGAAACACCTGTGGATTTTTTCAGATCTGAAGCAAGAATGGAGCTTGATTTTCTCCTCTTTCTCTCAAAGGTGAAAGTTTTAAGTGCTGTTTATCTAATGGTGACAGTTGGTGCTGTATCAGGTCTCTCATGTCTGTTAAGAGTCCCATTTTCTCTGTATCTTTCACTTCTTTTTTAATCCAGTTCTGAAAACACCTAGATTTTCCACCTGTTTTCTTTTGACTTTCCCCTTTCGCTTTGTAACTAGATTATCTTCTATCTAATCTCCTCAGAAATATCTCCTGAAAAAGAATAACTCAATGGCTGTTTTGACCATCAATTAAATCAGTGAAAGGTGGTCTCTGACTTTTCGCAGTACTGCATATAATGTGTTTGTGTGGTTAAACTGGAAAACTTTTTTCTGCAGTAAGATAAGAAGAATGACTACAATGTGGCAGACAGAGATGGTATGTAAACATTCGGCCAGGAACATTAACAGACGAAGGTTAGTAAGAAGAACACAGCCCTTATTTTAGACTATAGGTCAGTTTGTGTACGCTCATATACACACTCAAAAAAGACGGTTCTTCAAGGGTCCTTTAGTACAGGTAATGGTTCTATTTAGAACCATGAGTTCTATATAGAACATTTTCATGATTCTAAGGTTCTTTAGATTGATGGAGAATTGTTGTATATGGTTTTATATAAAAAGGGTTCTTCTATAGTCACAAACTTGCCATCGTAACAATACAAAACCCCCTTTTTGGTGCTATACAGAATCATATACAACACATTAAGAACGATGTAATCACGAAATGGTTCTCTACACAACGCATGGTTCTATATAGAACCACTACTTGTACTTAAAAACCCTTGAAGAACCATCTTAAGTGTGTAGGCTTATGAATATAAGCATACCGGTTTAAAGCTGAGGCTCAGTATTGGGAGCATAAATAAATGAACAGAAGCTATAGAGTGTCTCAGTGTCTGTCACGTGACCATGTTAGATTTAGCATGTTTGCTCCTGTTGGTTTGATAATTAACCTCCTCACAACTACATGCTAAGTTTTATACTGAAACTACAACCTTCAGGGGCTTTTTATAAAACTTTACCCAAGAGTTGGTGGTCTTTATTTGTGTAAATAAGTGGTACTAACGGGTTTGTTTACCTGTGAGGAGAAGACAGCAGAAGAGCGCGGCTACCGACCTCCTCCTCTTCTCCATGGCTGCGTTGCGTCACACGGAAATTTCTGCAGGAATTTTTCATCAAATATCAAGAAATCTGACTGTTCTGCTTCAGTGGGTCATCTGACAGAGGCCCCCTCCATAGTCCAGCGGGGAGGTATTTCGAGTAAACACGCCGTGTCCGTCTCAGAGCTCCACTCTGCTTGGGTACAGGTGTCTCTCACTCTCAGGCCTTCAGCTCCGCTCCGCCCCTCCCCCCACTCTTCGTGACGTCAACGCGAACAGGTGCTCAGCTCCGCGTTTCTTCACTTTCTGCTCTGTGTTTCTTCGGTTTTTAATGCCACGTTCGTTGCATTTCATTCTCTCTGTGACCTGCATCCATCGCTGTACTTCATGGGACGAAGTGCATGAAAGAATTTACGAACTGTAACTTCTGACTCTTCACCACAGGGCGGCGCTGTTCTGTTTGCTAACCTGTTTGGAAATCGAGGCCTCATGCAATGGTGGTCCTCTTTAGTCGACGCGTGGCTGACCGTGCCCACTTTGAATTCGAATCTCTTGGAGATCCTGCCGATCCTCAGAACTTAAAACTTAATTTCCATTAAACTTCATTCCTTTTTACCCTGACTTCCCACAGAGCTCCCTCAGTGTTCACATCACGCTCCTTTGATGAGTGAGGTGTTGTCAGATTAGATTGTAACTGAGCTCTGGAGGGTGAATAGCCTAGATCTCCAGGGGCAGGGCTGGCTGGGCACCCCCTAGTTGTAAAATCTTGACCTGAGATGAGGTCTAGTTATTCTCTGTGAAGTTTAAAACAAGTTAGACCAGTCATATCTGGACTGAACCCACATCCCACATGTTTATAACGCTGCTTTACTCTCTCCATAGCCTGGATATTTTTTCAGGAGCTTTTCTTTAAGTTTTCCTTAAGTTTCTTTAAGTTCCACTCTGTGGAAATGAGCACGATGTGAATGAAAAAAGCTGGGCAAAAGAAAAAATGTCACGGTGACAACAGTCCCATATGGAAGAAAATATATAGATGCATATTAAACATATGTGCAGTCTGTGAGATGTTTTTTAAATATATGTACAAAATGTATATAAATGTGGAAAAATAAGAGAGCAGGCCTTAAGATGGTTGTTGTGTAAAGATTCAAAACTGAAATAAATGATCATTCTTTTTAGTGAAAGTAACCTTGAAACGATAAGATGTCCTGTAGTAAAAACATTCTGGACTGATTTTCACTCCTATATAAAATATGAGGCAGACAATGACAGGACACAGAAATTATGCTAATTTGAACCCTTCTAAAAAACATGTTATGTGATTAATTTAATTACACTTGCACCTCAGTACATATTAACAGGGCAATGGTGTAGAAACAGTCCTGCATTTAAAAATGTTAGTTTACACCAAAAGGCTTATTTGCAGACTCCCTCAGAATGTAAAATCATGAAGGCCCACCACTATCATGTGTTGTATGTAGCTTGCACAGTATTATATTTGCCTATTAAAAGAAAGGTACTGTGCTGAATAGCCTCCAAACAATCAATCAACTAAACAAATACATACATACATAAATAAATAAATAAGTGAGCTGGTGTTTAACTCTAAAAACAGAGCTATGACATAAGTGATATTTAGGGGCAGGACCATGACTGAAAGCCTTACAATCTCACAGCCTATTAATCCCCATCTCTACCTTCCGTTTCACACTACTGTGTAGAAGATGTGGAAGTAGTTGGGAAATGCAAGAACGGCCTATACATTATATAAACCATTAGTGTTTTGTGTGTGTATATGTTTGTTTTGAGTCCCTCTGGTCTGAGATACAGTCATATGCAAAAGTTTGAACACCCCCAGTCAGATTACAATTTTTGTTGCAAATTACTGAGCACATCCTCTATAGGGAACAAACGTATGACTTTTTTCTGCAAATTTTAATGCACTGTTTCTATTACAATATAGAAATACTGAAAAATAAATAAAACATAAAAATGAAATGTGCCATACCTTTTGCACACTAGTTACTATTCAGCACATAAACAGCATTAAATAGTGCAGCAGTGTGTTCTCTGTAGAGGATATGGAACTTCTTTCACCAAAGCATGTATAACTGAACATACTAAAGTGTGAGCAGAGAACACCTGCGAAGGCCAGTGTCAGATAGCTTCCAGCTATTGTAATCTCATTTCCTGATAAAGACTCATGCTTTCCTTTGCAAGGTCCTGTCCAGTTTCCTGCTTTGCTTTGGCTCAGTATTGCTGAATACATGACCTGCTTTTCTGAGCCACGTTTGTATGAACTGCTTTCTCAGTTTACTGCACAGCGTGATTCATCATATATGCTACGAGGTACGATATTTCTTTATAAAGAGGTGTGCGTACATGTAAAATGTGTGTTTAGTAGTTTACACTGATATGAGATAACAAGCATGTGTGTTTTATCGTGAGTACACATTTCTTATCAGCCTTCAAATTTAAACAAATATCACAGCATTAAATAGACAGAAAGTGTTTATATCAAAACAATCATTACTTTAAACAAATGAAATACTCCATGGCACTTTATCAAAACCACAATCACTCAGTGCTGCCCATACAGACCAGCTGATTAACAAAGAAATACAGACTCACTAGTGCAAACATAAAAAAGAATAATACAAAGCAAATAAACAGTATTCAAATACAGTACTTAACCCAAACAAAATATCAAGGCTCTTGAATGGAATTAAAACACAGAGGCATTATGAGGCATTTTCAATTTACGTGGTTTTGTGCACTTGTAGACTGAGCTGAGGGAGGGTCCCCTGCGTCCTCCAGTCAAGGTTCATGAGACACAAACACTGATATGTCCCGAGAAGAGATGAATGAGTGAACTGATGGCTTGGAAGACACCAAAACAGACACAAGCACAGATGGGCGATCTGGTGTCTGTCTCACAAAGCTTAGCCAGATCACTTTAAGCTTAGTTCCATCTAATCCTGGATTTCTGTCTCACAACAGTGGATCACTTTCTACTGGGATACATCACCTTGTCAACTTTGTGTCTTTTTTTAAAAAAATATTGTCTTAGTACACCTATCGTGCTCCAGAGCAGGTTTAATACAAGATTTCAGATATAAACAGCTATTGGACCAATCAGGGCCTTTTCAGGTCCCTTTTTTCATAGTGACATTTGTCATGGAAGCCCATTGATGGCAGATACAAGAGAAAATAAATCACCTATTCCCTTCTCTGTTTCTGGCAGCAGTATGTCAAATTGTTGACTTAATATCTTGAAATGATTTATGTTCATAAAATATTGTATTTGGATCTCGAAATATTGACTTATTTTTTTAAATATTGACTTAGTATCTGGAAACATGGCTTTATTTTCTCAAAATACTGACTCAAAATACTGCCTTATCATCCCAAAATATTGATTTAGTATCTCAAACTGACATTTTCTATAAATATCGACTTAATATCTTGAAATAATGACTTATTTTCTCAAAATATTGACTGTCAAAATGATGGCTAATTTTCTCAAATTGCTGACTATTCCAAAATAATTGCTTATGGTCTCCAAATTTAATAACTTTCTTCAACGTTGTATGAAATAATGAAATTTTAAGAAAATAAGTCATTATTTTAAGGGGAGTGGCCTGCACTAATGGCAACAGCAAAAACATTTGTACCACTATAAATGCTTTACTTTCTACATATTCACACAGTGTGATTTCTTTTTTGAGCTTTGAAAATTAAGCTGCTGGACTCCGCATGTTTCATTCGTAGACATCACGCTTGACATGTATCTGCATAGGCATTAATCATAGCTGGGACAACAGAGAAATTTGTAAACTGGCATTGAAAAAACAGGTTATCTGTGGCTACATTTGTTTGGTTTTGTGAAGCTGAATCCAGTAGTCAGGAACCCTCTTTAAACTGAACGTGCTTTGTGAGACAGACCCCTAAATATGCGGTAGTTTACACCCACACAAACACAGACATAAACACAAATAAACAAATGTAAGATTTTTTTCTCTGTGAATTCCTCTTCATAATACACAACAGGCTCCAGTGTTATTATTTCACAAGGAGTGTTCTGCAGATTGATGCATGCTGCCTTGTTAATAGTATGATGCCAGTCCAGTCTGATCAGCATGGTGAACACCTCTTGAGTGACTTCAAACAATGAGGGAGTCTCTGCTTAGATGACTGGTCTGTTAAAAAACACCAAGAGCCACATATTAGAGACCCCACAGACATGCAGCTAAAGCCTAAAGGGGAATTCCACCAATTTCTTTTCAATTTCTGCATAATTCAGTGATTGAGATGTAAATGTACTGATTCAAATTTCTTTATAGTTGTGGTGATAGGAATCAGGGGCCACAATGTCTACATATGGCCATAGTTTTTTATCTGTAATGTTGATAGTGGTAAAACAGTGGTAAATCTGGTGACTATTTTGCCTTAGAACACCCTGTATGTACTTCTCTGCTATGAATAGATTAAATTAAATGGATTAAAATAAATTTTAGAACAAAACTTCAAAACTATCATAAAACAATGTCTCAGGCATCAGACATTGCATTCAAAAAATCTGACAAGAAATTTCAGTGAGGGAGCTTTTAAAGGCTTCAGATGTCTGGTTCCAATCACCATCACTGGGAGCAATTCTGACTCTGTAAGTTTCTCTAGAGCAGAGTGTTTCACATCACACCACTCTGAATGACTCTGTTTACATCTCAACTATTTAATTATGCAGAAATTTTGAAAAATCTGCATTATTCCCTTTATTAGTCCAAGGGTCTGCAGCACTGAAGCAAGCCCATGCTCCATTAGTAAGACCTGTTAGTGATGCACAGTAAGACAAATGTAACACACAAACCTTTAAAAACACTAATCCTTGAAAATGTAATCAACGAACATATTGTACACAATGAGATCCTTCATCAAAATAATAGATCTGAACGCACAAGATCTGTCACATAATCAATATACAGTTTCTTTTTATGTGCAATCTTGCAGCTCATTTTGGATTACAGTTATATACAAATTATGAAGGCTACTAAAACTTTTAAACACTGACTGGCCCCAAAATGTCCACTTCATGCATCCTCAATAAATGTATAATACAGAATTACTGTTGTGCTAATTAGTACTGGAAGTCAGCTTAAAATATACTGTTTCTGAGGGTCCTCATTTCGAACCTCTGGACTTTAAATGACTTCTGCTCTGAGGCTCTGCAGTAAATTCATGCATGTGGAATGCCATTCAGCATTAACTCTTCTCGTCCCTGAAACTATGAAGTATTCCATATAAATGATGTACTCCCTTAAGTAGCTTTAGTCTTTGGGATTCCTACACATGTGATTTTTCTGTAGTCCATTTCTGTAGCATAACTCTGATGGCCTGCATCTGCAACTTACTGATCCTATACTGATTCTGCTGTAGCAGAAGCTCCTTATAAGTAACTCACCAGTTTCCTGGGTTTGTCCCTCTCCTCTCTGCGCTCCTGCAGAGTGTGGGACATGCTTTGACCAGGACGAGTGTAAGAGAAGGGCCGCACCTCAGTGTCTACAGTCCTATATCGCTCCCGTTCCACAGGCTGCTCAGTCCGATATCGCTCCACCTCGCAGTATGGAGGCAGAGGGTCATCCTCATCAGGGCGGTTGCTCGGCGACCGGCTGTAGTAACAGTCACTGCTCTTCTTAGAGCTGCCCTTCGAGGGTGTGTCACTGTCCTCGTCGGCCCGCCCACCCCGCTCCCCCCGCCCCCTGGCCTTTCGTTCCAACACAGAGGACAGGTAGGCATCATCATATGACTGTCTACGAGTGGCGTAACGTTCGCTGTCACTGGTGTCCCGCCTCTTCCGTGGAGAAGGAGGGGGGCTGCGGCGCCGCCAGTCATCATCGTCATCATCATCACGGAAGCGACGTGGACCGTCCCGGTATGGAGAGGGCATGTCACGGGACCTGAGCTCCATGTCGAAATCTCGTTCATGGTCACGGAAGTCGGCCCTGCGACATGCGCGGGGGCCGTAGTTCCTCGCAAACTCCTCTAGCTCATCCAGAGAGACAGTGCGGCCCCTGCTGTCAAACGCTTTCCTGGGCAAATGCTCCGACCGGCAGTTCCACCTGCACAAAACGGACACAGTAACATCAGCACACAGCCTAAAAGCTGTTACACACTAAACGTGACATGAATAAATGACACAAAAACCCAAATATTCAGATGCAATGTTTTTGGGGTTTTTTGGACATTGTTCCACCGCTAAGAAAGTGAACAAATGGCAGAATGTCTTGAACAGACAAAAAGATACACTTTGCTTTTCACAAAAAAAGCAAACAGTGACAGTGGATAGACTAAAAGGAGCACAAAGAGTTTCAGTGCCTCATCCAGGAGCTGAAACTTTAAGTGCTCGCCTGTAACTCACTTTGAGCTGCTTTTGAAGATGCACTTTAGTGTTTGTCAAAAAGTTCTGGTTGCTGGGACACAGCCAATTAGTTATCTTGGTTGTCGCCACACCAATGGCAGAAACAACCACGATCGGACAAGTAAGTTCATGACGCCTGCTAAAGTTGGCAAAAATCGAGTAGAGAGCGGAAATAATAATGTCATCATGTTTGTTCTGCAAGTTATCATCAGTTATCATTTTGAATATATTTACGCATGCCTGAATTAATTGCACTGGGTGTGTAAAGGCCTTAAGGCTTAAAGTGAAAAAAGCAGAAAAAAGTTTGTAGCCGATCAGCCAAGATATGCCTGGTGTCTGTAATTTGTTTTGTGCTGCTAAAACTCAAACTGCTATTAGAGACCTTTTTTCTGTTGCTTTAGTATGTGCATCTCTGTGTGATAGAGAATGTTTAGCTGTTTAACTCTCAAATACAGTAAACACAGTATAACACAGTAAAGAAAATCAAAACAGGTAAAACTGTTGTTACAATTGTAATAATTTGTACAGTTTAGATGCTGTGAACATAAGGTTTACAGTCTTTAAAGGTTTATACCCGACCAATTATCCAACTACACCACCAACTCTGTATTGACCGTAATGAGTTGTTAAGACTTGCGAATGTGGTTTCTGATACTTTTACATACTGTTACCTAAAAAAATTGATTTACTATCCTTGTAGCTACAGAAAACTAATGAATTAAACTTCAGACACCAAACATATCATAGCTGATCAACCAAATCTGGGCTAATGGGGAAAACGCGCATTGTTTTTTTTAGCCAAACGGTTGGTTTATACAGGACTACTATTAAAAAACAGTGGCACTCAGGCAGAGAGTATTGATACCTGCTGTCATGTTGCTCCAAGGTGCGATTGCTCTGATAGTGTGTGGGCCGGAGCGCATGACCTGTCGACATCGTGCGAAGGTGTGTGTCGTCGTGGTCACTGATAGGTGGCAGTGCTTTCTTCTGAACCTGCCGGTAGGTCTGCCTGAAGTCTATATCACCATCATGCAGGGAGCTCAGCTCTGACATACTGCCAGCTGCTGACACAATCATATCTTTATGAAGGCACAGTCATCTTTTCACACAGACACACTGAGAATATTAAGCTCACATTTCTGTAGCCATTCACAAACAGGTTTAGATCTCCTAAACTGGCTATTTGTAAAGCCTATGCTCATTGAACCATTAGTACTGTGTAATATGAGAAGTGCTACACATGAGTAGTATTCAGTTCAGGTAAAGCACAGAGATAAACAGCAGGTAGGTATTAAAAAACCAACTACAACAGATACATCGAACATTCACACTAATAGTCTTCCTGTACTGATCTAATGACACCCTGATTATTTGAAATAATCAGGGTCACAAATGGTGAAGTGATAAGTATGTTCCATATAAGCATGATGATGATGATGATTATGATGAAAATTTGATGTTGATGGAAATGAGAAGTGAGTCAATGTTATGTCCCATATCCTATATGTATGTTATATATACCTATATGTAATAATGTGTCCCATTTGTATTACATAAAGCTGAGTGACAAAAGAAATCTGAATAAATGAATGGAAAAACATAACAAGTGCAGATGCTACCAGACAATTAAGCAACTGATTTCCTACCATGTTGTGTGGAGAGTATAAATATGCTGAGCAGACCCAGCTGCCCCTGATTTTGGATCAAGATGGCAAGAGGAAAAGATCTAAAAGTGACTTTGAAAGAGGGTTCATTACTGGAACACAGACAGTAGGAGACTAGTGAGTAGTGTTTCAAGAAAAACAGAAACTAAAGTGACATCTGTATTTAGATCTATGGGAAAGACATGATCACCTGTTTCCTAAGATTATACATTTCTATCCTGAAGGGAGTGGTCTCCTCCAGAATGACAAGTTCCCATCCACTGGGTATGAGGGGTCACTGAATGGTTTAATGAGTATGAAAATTATATATATCATATGCTATGGCTTTCCCTGTCACCGTATTTTAGACTGACATGTTAGACAGCACTTTTTACCACCATTATCAAAGCACCAAGTCATGGAATATCCTTTGGAAGAATGGTGTTCCATCTCTCCACTACAGTTCCAGAGACTTTTATAATCTATGCCATGGTGCACTGAAGCTGGTCTGGTGGCTCACGGTGGCGCAACACCTGATTATGAAACATTACGTTGTTTTATACTTTGTTGTGTGTGTATCTAAGTACCTATATGTAATAAGAATGTTCTAAGCCTACATTAAACCCAGCCCTAACCTTATCCTCTGTAAAAAATAAATGGCTTTGCTTCAGACAATAAAAATGCAACTTTTGTTACATGAGGAAATGAAGACATTTCAGGACATTTCCTGAAAATGTATGAAAACAAACACACGCACTCACACACACACACAGACTCATACAGTGACTGCTGAGAAACACTGCTGACTGCATACAGGCTTACATGGATGGCCGGCCGGCTTGGCCGTCTGGAACTGTGCCAGGTCCCTCTCTATGTAGTACACAACTTTCATAGCGTCCTGACCCTGACTTGCCTGGAGACGATAGCCACTGCGCACTGTGGACACACACATATATGCTGTGTGTTGCTACCATGTCCTGATTATTGCCAGTGTCACACAAATTCATACTGTACTGTGGATACACAGCAGTGCTTTACCTAGAAAAGCTAAAGAAATCTTACAGCCTCCAGTATTTAAACAAACTCACTGCCTTCTTTTGTTTTATGCCTCTATTTTATCTCTTTAAAGCTCAGTCTGCTTATTTGTCTTAGTGGATCTGTCTATTGTCATGAAGAACATAAAAAGACCCATTTTATTCAATCTGAGATTACAAAGTATAAAAATATAAAAGTATCACTCTGCGCTGCCTGTAGTAAAGTCCAAATTTGATCCAGTGACGTTAATGATGATGAATGTGAGCAGAAATGGAGTAAGTAGGATATTAGAACAAAAAATGCACAGATCATCCAGGTCACATTTAAACCTAGCTTAAACCTTGTGAACGAATTAGTCTAGACTGCTTAAATCATTAGTGAAACCCTTTAGGTTAGTTTGTAGCATTTTGTGGTCAACCTTACTGACCTCCAGCAATATTGTTCTCCACCGAGGGGGGCTCTGCAGTCAGCTTGGGGTCAATGAGAGCTGGTGCTGGTTGAGAAACCACTGGAGCAGGAATGTAATATGGAGAATACAGGGCAATCTGCGGAGGCTGTCCACTCTTAGCCATCTTCCCTGCTTCGTATACTGAAGAGGAAGAATGTCATCAGGAGGGGACAATAAAAAGACACAGCAGTGCAAGTTTCCCATAGGTGATCATATGCAAGAACATTTACATGTATGTACGTGTGTGCACTGGGTGAATGTTTGTGTGTGCATGCCTGTGAGTGTTTATATAGGTAAACTATAGGTCCAAAAGTTTGTAGTTTTCTTCCCAAATCAAGGGTATTAATAGGGAGTTTTGTCCCTCTTTTCTGCAGTAACAGCTTCATCTGGGAAGGCTTTACACTAGATGTTGGAACATTGCTGTGAGGATCTGACTGCACTTGGCCACATGAGCATTAGTGAGGTCAGGTACCGATGTTGGATGATTACTTCTGGATCACAAACGGCACTCCAACTATTTCCAAAAGCTCCATCACTTCAGAGAACCCAGTTCCACAGCTCCACAGTCCAATGCTGATGGCCTTTATACCACTTTAGCTGACCCTTGGCATTGGGTATGGTGATCTTAATCCCTGTCTGTCTACAGTGTTTTTCCTATGGAGATTATCTGTTTGTGTGTGTAACTTAACTCCTGTGACTGAATTCACTAGCTAGAAGGGGTCTCTGGATACTTTTGGGCATATAATGCATGTAAATATGTGTGTGTGTGTGTGTGTGTGTGTGTGTGTGTTTGTGTGTGTGATAAACCTACAGTGCTTTGGGCAGCAGCAGGTATCAGGACAGCAGCAACAACGCAGGTAACAGCAGCAGGAGTGGGGACAGCACTGACACCAGCAAACCCCCACCAACAGCAGGAACAAAACACTACCCAGTACTACTGACCCCACAAACACCCACTCTGAAAGAGAGAGAGAGAGAGCTAAACTAAAACTGCAAAACTGTAGGCTAGGACAGGCCTTAGAAATGTTCAGCTATTTTTAGTGTTACCAGGGGACGTTCTATAAAGTAATTTATAAGGAACTTTGGCCTGGTAATTAATTTGGGTTAAAATGAGAAATGCCAGTAAAGACCCACTTTTGGTCCTCTAGAGAACAATTTATGTAAATGCACCGTGTGAGTGTGAAGAACTTTTTAAAGATTTAAAGTACTTTTACAGGCTCCATACCAATTTAAGGATTGTTCTTGGAACCCTTAACTAATGTGGATGTTCTCTGAACTTTAAAAAAGGTTCTTCATCTCATTTCTAAAATGATTCTCCAGAATTCTTACAGAACCACTGTAAGGTCCTTTAGAGAACCAAAAGTGGTTCTTACATGGCGTTGTGCAAATAATCCTATGTGGTCTTTTTTTTTTAAATTGTAGCCTGGATGTAAACATCAGCATTATTGATGTCAGAGAGGTGCCACACTCAATAACAATAACAACATGGCACATGGCCACATTTGTTGGCCGTTTTTGTTATTAAATTATGATTAGGGCGATTCAAAGAGGACTACTATTACTGAGAGAGCTCTGGGTTCAACTGCAGAATTATTAGAGTCAGACTAATAAACACTACAGACTTTGCAGATTCATACTGGATTAAAATCATCTAATAGATGATCATTTAAACTGCAGCACCACCCCAGGTAAAACTAATCCAGTTGAAATAGGGCTTTTGACTCATTAATCAGATGTAACTCTTTTAAATCTTTCCAGTATAATCCTGGCCTCAGACTCAGGCTGAGTCAGTCCTGAAGGAAATTCCCATCTAAGCCCTTTTCTACATACAGGATATGAAGCCTCCAAACAAAACTACAAACAAAACTGGTGCAGATGATTCAGACCGTTTACTCTCCTCCAGCTCCTTATCTCTAAAGCCAGCGACTGTTTCTGGACTAATGATGCACTTCCTCTGGGCGTGAGCTAAACTTCCAACAGCTCTTCAGCTCAAATCACATCCCAAGTGACTGCTGACATCCTCTAGCTGCAAAAATGGAGCACGTGTGGCTCTTTAGCAAACAACTATCAACTGTAGTCAAAAGTGCTTAAAGGGCAATTCCACAGATTTTGCTACATTTCTGTGTAATTCAATGTGCAAATCATTCAGAGTGGTTTAATGTGAAATGCTCTGTTCTAGAGAAACCTAATGTGTCAGAATTGTTCACAGTGCTGGTGATAGGAACCAGATTTCTAAAGCATTTAACACCTCAAAAAGCTGCCTTACAGAAGGTTACTACATGAAATGGTTACAAATATGTTGTCTGATACCTCAGACATTGTTTTATGATGGTTTTGAGATACGATTTTGTCCTAATATCTGTATTTAAAATCCATTCGGGGTGGAGAGGTACATGCAGAGTGTTGTAAGACAAAATAGTGTGCCCCGGATTTACCACTGTTTTTTCATCATCAACACTACATATAAAAACTCAGCAGAGGTTGTGTAGGTTCACTGGTCATTTTTTCAATAGCAAATACAATGGCTATATTTGTGCTACATTGCTGCTCCTGGTTCCTATCACCACCATTGTAGTAAAATCCGAATTGAGTTTCTCTATAATGCAAAATTTGACAGCAAACTGCTCTGTATGACTTTATTTACTTCTCAGTGATTGAATTATCAAGATATTTTTTTAAAATTGGTGGAATTTCCCACTTAGAGATCTGACTTGTTAGTATTAAATCATTTCATTAAGCAACAAGTATGTTGTCACTGTCACGACAAAACCTTGTATCTCAAAAATGATAGCTGTTCAGGAGAAAGAGGTAATGAAACACATTTCTTCTAAGTAATTTTGGACTATTTCTATTGTACCCAGTGCACAGCACAATGAAAAATGTGTTGAAAACTCATAAGTGATGCAAATTTAGAAAACACTTTCATCAACATGACTACAGCTGAGCTATATTTCACAAATGCACTGCAAATACAGAAAACACATGCAGCTTCAGACAACTTTGCAAAGCCAGTCAAAACACAACAGAAATGAGCCACAACGCAATGGAAATGTTTCTGGAAAATTCTCAAAGGAGATGGAATATGTGTGATGGAAAATCACTGACAGAAGTTGATAAGACTTCAGACAGTCTCATTTCAGCAAGTTCATGGTTAAATTGGCTGGCTAGTTAGCTATCTGACATGTAACTATACTACTGTAAGTAAAAGTCATAGCTGGTACTGCTATTAGAAATTTTGCAGTGGCACTACAGATAATTCCCATTATAATGCAGTGTTATTAGTTACCTGTTTAACTAAATGTTAAATTACTTTCATTAGTGAAGTTTATGCTGCACAGGTTTTAAAAGTTTGAATGGCTGCACCCCCTCTGAGGTTCCTCTGGAATCAGTTCCTTTGTATCGTGACTGCTACTGATGTCATTTTTATAAAAGTGTTTTCTACGTTTGCAGTTTCCAGTTTGCAGTTTTTATTTTTATATCATTGTGTAATTTTAACGCACTGTAAAGGGCAGTCTGCATTTTCAACTTCTGTAAAAAAACAAAAATACAAAATGAAAATACAATACAGTTTTTGTTCAGACAGTGACAATAATGAGATTGCCATTGATTATGATATTATTGAGCATGCAATTCATTTTTAGTTTGAAGAGTGAGAATAAGAAGGAAGCAGGTAATGCTGAACATGCTGCATTAACACTTGATATAAATCGAGTAGACCCAGCATGAAGTACAATTAAAGGTGTGGTGCAGCGGAAAAGAAAGGCAAAAGAGGGCACCACGGCAGCCGTACCTGGCATAATCTCCAGCTCAAACTCAGGCAGGACATCGTCCAGCACACCTGTCTTACCTGCAGAGAGTAGAGAGTAGAAGAGGACAGATGAGCAGCAGCTGAAAGGTCAGTCAGAGCCAGGGCCAAATGCACAATGATTGGAGAGAATAGTTTCTGGAGCTCACAGACTTCTAATCACCACCAACAAGCATGCAGGAAAGGAGCTAAAGCTGAAATCACTGGTGATTTGCTGGTTTAAATCTTTGATGGCCTGGTTTTAGGGTTTATGGTGTTTCCTGTATAGGGTTTATGCAGGAAACATTCAACAGGAATGTAAGTGCTGACAAGCTACAAACAATCTGCAACCATATAATTAGTACTTCAAGCCCATGTTGAGTGAGTAACAGTTATGCATCATAGATTAAGGAGTTACAAACAATTCAGACAATTAATTTATGGCTATTTATGGTATTCAGCACAGTCTAAGACAGCCACATCATAGAGTAATGCAATTACAAAAGACATACAGCAAAATCCACAGAGCTGAATGAACTCTAAGTGTTCATTTGCATCCACTTGGACTAAAACAAACACTACAGGTGTTAATTCAAAATTGCTAAGTGTCAATTCAGCAGCAGAAATTTTGCTGTGTATACAGAGTGCAGATTTCATTTATTTGAAAAAAAAAAAAAAGAATTTTCTGTCTGCTACAATAACAGCACTATTTCAGGTTGGCCAGGGAATATATATTTGAAGGCTTCGACCCTGGGAAGGTGACTAATTATAGCAGGGTGCTGTATTATTGTTTCCTTACAGTTCAAACAGCACACGGTCTCCATACATGACTGAAAAACAGAGACACAACACATGTCTGTCTCAGACTCGCAGACATACACTCTATTCTCACACATTATCACTAACATCTATCATAAAAGCCTGACAAAAGTGTTAATGATCTACAACCTAAACTTCATACATGATCATAACAATTTCACAATAAGACCACTATGAAAAGCTTTATAATGTGTTTATTTACATCTATTAATTTAGTAGAACACCTTGTCGAGATGTGAAATAATATTGTACAAACCTAATTCCCAAAAACTTGGGGGAGTATGTGAAATGCAGATAAAAACAGAAAGCAGTGATTTATAAATCAGTTTTGCCTATACTTGGATGAATTTTTTTATAAACATATGCTCAATCTGAAACTGATGCCTGCAATACATTTCAAAGAGGTCCCCAGTCCTTTACGAGCAAGGAGGGGTCGAGGCTCACTACTTCGTCAAAATGCATCAGCAAAAACAACAGCTGGGACTGCAAGGATTTTAGGTATTACACCCTCTATGGTGCATATTATTATCAACAGATTCAGGGAATTCAGAGACATCTCCGTGCATAAAGGGCAAGACCGAAAACCACAACTAAGTGCCCGTGATCTTCGAACTCTCAGATGGCAAAACCAGCAGACTTCTGTGATGGATACCACCAGATGGGCTCAGAAATACTTTGACAAACTGTTGTCAATAAACATTGTCCATCTCTGCATCTGCAAGTTAAGACTGTACTATGCACAGCAGGAGTCATTTGTCAACAGCATCCAGAAATGCTGCTGCTTCTCTGGGCTCAAGCTCATCTGAAAAAGTCTGATGCGTGGTGGAAATCACCATCATGCTCTCCAGGCAAAAGAAAAAAAGATCATCTAGACTGTTACCAGCGTAAAGTTCAAAAGCCAGGGTCTGTCATGATATTGGGGGTATTAATAGGTAACTTGCACATCTTTGAAGGCACCATTAATGCTGAACACATTTTGATCAACATAATCTGCCTTCAAAACTGTCTTTTTCAGGGACACCCATGCTTATTTCAACATGACAATGCCAAGCCACACTGTGCACATGACAAAACAGCATGGTTATCAGAGAGTGCAGGAGCTGGACTGGCCTTCCTGCAGTCCAGATCTGTCTCCCACTGAAAACGTTTGCAAAACACAACAACAAAGGCCTTGTGCAGTTGCACAGCTGAAGACAGAAGAATGGTGAAAAATTCAGCTTTTAAAACTAGATCGGTTTTTGTCTTCAGTTCCCAAAAGATTATTAAGTGCTGTTAAAATGAAAGGTGAAATAAAGAAGTGGGAAACATGATCCTATCGCAACTTTTTTGGAACATGTTGCAGCCATCATACTTGTAATGAGCGCATATTTCCAGGAAGACTATGTAGGCCACAAGATAAAGCCTAAAATATTGTGTTACTAATCATCGCTATTTTCATCTCTTTCCCAACTTTTTTGGTAATGCCTTTATAATTTAAAACATGACTGAGAGCTTGAGGCATTATGCTTATCCCCCAACAAGTGTTCACTGCCAACTATACACTAAATTAGCATTTATATTTAGCTTGATGAACAGACTAATTTCCCCTTCATAAGAAGGGAAGATGAGAGCAGAAACAGCAGACACACAATCAGACAAACAGTGAAGGATTATGGGAAACTAATAAACCATTAGGACTCATCAGCTATCCAAGAAAGGGGGTCAGGGGTGTGCCATCGCCATGGTAACAGTGTTGGCTTTGTTTGGAGGTAGGGGTGTTTTGAAGCACTGTCCAATCAGCACCTACCCACGGCCCATCTTCAAACCCCTCGCCTGAGAACAGTCGGGTAGATTTACATATACAGTCCAATTTATGCTGAGTGCACTCTGTAAATGCTTGGCACAAAGCCACAATTAAAGTGAATTCCCACAGTTTAGACTGACCTCAATGTTCAATCAAACTTAGCAAAGTAAAGTGACCAAAACCAGTTCTTATTTAAAGTGACAATTCAGTGGAAACTCATACATACATATTTTTACCTTTACTGCAGACAACATATCCAACTTTGGTATCCAAAGTAGTGCAGTAGTTTTGCACTGGAGTAAAAGGGCCAACGTAGCTAACAAGCAGAAGCCCACTTATTAACATTGCGACAACTGACATACTGTTATCTATAAACATGGACTAAACAGCACTGCAACAACACTGATTGTAAAAAACTGTCAGGGACAACTGTTGTGGATTTTTTATTGTTCAAAAAAAGTCATTTAAAAAGCACTATATAATGGCCACGTGCATTAGTTCAAAGGGGGATGAAGTTACAGCCATGCGTAACATGCAAGGTAGTGTTTCACAGCAGCAGGATGGTGATGCACAAACAAAACAAAATCACCCAAGTTCTGATACAATTTATGCTCCCACTAATAGTCTGACAGTGTTTTACGTAGCCAAATTGTCTAATGTGAGCCCAGTAAAAGCAATGTTAGGCTACGTATTGGAAAGCAGAACATCTTGTGGAAGAGATGACTATTTCAGTGATGTTATGTACAGTGTAGTAAAATGAATGCCATACTGGAGGAGCAGTTCAGTAAAAGAAATGATAAGGCGTCAGACTAACGCTGTCCAGAAGTCCCAGGGATAATAGAAGTGCATGTGATGATACTAAATATGTTTTAGGATGCTTTTGGGATGAAGAAGATCACTGTTTATTTACATATTGGGGAAAAATAAACATAAAATGTGTCTACGGCACATTTCAGATTTTATGTTATTTTTCAATATGTTAAAATCAGCAATAAATAAATAAATAAATAAATGCACTAGAGAAAGGCCATATTTAAGTTTATTCCTTATAGAGAATGTGTGCTTATTATCACTTTTCAGAAAATCCACAAAACATGCAATTTGATTGGGGGTGTTTAAACTTTGGCATACAACTGTATATTTGAAAATATACAGTCATAAAATCAAAAACATGCCAGTCATTCATGCTAGCCATAGTGTTTAATGTTGAAACTTTAAAACTAGAAAAAGTTAAATCTATATCTAAAATTGAAAACAAAACAAGAACTGTGATACATTTGAAAATACTATCACCTGAAACATTATTATTTCATTATTAAATATTTTATTTGAGTTAATTTATTTTTAAATAATAATTTACTTTAATATATTGATTAAAATATTAATATTTATTTAAAAAGTTCACTTTGCATAACAAAACATAACAAGTGATGGTATAGGCCTGCATTTGCATGGTAATTAACAGTAATTGGTGGTTATAAGCTTTTATTACCTGTTAGCTACACTAGTCATGTAGCTACAGTGCAAAACTTGAGATTTATTGGCTAGTAAAACTGTGTAAATTAGATTTGTTTAACAAACTATTAGTTATTTAGGTATTTAATTCACATTAATTCACAATTCACATACATTACATGCTATCAAAATGTCATGTTGTTTAATGCAGCAGTGCCTTGTGTCATCACATGTGGGCCCTCACTGGGGTGCAGATTTCAGTCTGCTAGACTAGCCATGCTGAGTTAGCAGAGTGCAAGAGGGGAAATAGCACCCTGTGCTCTCTGATGGAGATCGCAGACTCCTGCCTTTCTCCTGCTCTGGCACTCTCATAAACAGAACACTGTAACCTGAGAGCCAGGCAGAGAGAGGCAGACTGAAGGTGGAGCAAGAGAGGGTGTAGATTCACCAGAGAAAGAGAGGCAGAGCTAAAAAATGTTCTTATGGTAAAGTAAGAAGAATGAACAGCAAGACAGATAAGCAAGAGGGATTGTCAGGTCTCAAGTCAAATCTTAAAAACAAACAGCGAATGAGTTTAATTTACTTCAGTCCTCACAATGGCCATGTTTGCATGCACGCAAAAAACCTGAGTTCTTAATTAGTCAACAAAACAGACAGAACCGAAAAGTTTATAAGTTGCATAAAAGACTATTTATAGACATGTTGATACATACACCAACATAGTCTGACTTAACTACGTGAAACAACCTCATTAAGATGTACCTTGGTTTACAAACATAAGAGTTTCCAGCCATTTGATTATATCAGCATTTGTTCTTCCCCTACTTCTAAATATCTCATTATGTCTATTTCTGACAAAATGTTTAGTATGAGAGATACAACATCTCTTCCTCCCCGAAAAGTGCAAAGGCCTTTTGTCTAATACGGTCCAATTCCAGCCTTCTCGCGCACGGCCTAGAAAAGTCTCTTCCAGGCTCCTTTTGCTACCTTTTTTTCTTTAGCTACA